AATTTCGCTGCTGCGAATGTCAACTCATGCCTTTTTCTCTTTGTGCGTCCAAAGTCCGGTTGCTACTGTCAAGGTCCCTTTATCGCAGCCATGTTTTGACCACTTTTTTGGGCCCTGTTTTAGGGGCCATGATGAAGCAGGTTTGTTGGTATTCGAGGTGCTCCAAGGTTTACCGAGGCCTGCCCGAGACACATAAACAAAGCGAGGCTCACGGGGACTCGAATCTATATAATACTATTTTTGGGGTCCCTTAGCAATGATTGATGGTGTGGCAATAGGAAACAGTGTGGTGCCTTCTGGACTTGCAAAAGTACTGCTGTTTGTCAAAGCTCCGCCAGTTTTGGCAAAAAAAGGTCACTGCAGAATCTCATTTTCGGAGCTGTCAAACATTAGCCTTGGACTCCAAGAAGTGGTCCTCCCCAGTTGCGTTGAAAAATTGATGGTCAAACAATCCCCAACTTTGATCCACTTGCGTCATGCGAAGACCTTTTTGTGTGAAAGTTTGGTGAGAGGATGTACAATGTACTGAACCACCTTGAACCTGCTTGAACATCTTTAAACCTATCTTGGAACAATGTATGTGCAGGTGAACAGTTAGGAAACCATTTTAAGTTTGTAGGAACCGATCTGTGAACTAGAGAACCCATAGGAACCTATAGGAACCAGGTAGGAACCAATTGGGAACCAAATGGAACCAGTTTGTGCATGGAAGAGCTTGCAGATGGATTTTCGTTTGTTTTTGTGGTTTGTGGTGTTTTTTGATGTTGTTTGACCCATGTCCTAGGAACTTGATGTTGTGACTGTATTTGGTAGGAGTTTTGCAGGGTATTTGTGAGTTTGAGCTGAAGACGTTTTATTTGGAGAAGCTGGAAGAACGTTTTTGAAGCTTGAGAACTCTTTTGAAGTAGTTTGAGAACGTTTGAGTGTCACTGCGTTTTACTCTGCACGACTCCTGGGACTCATGAAGTACTTGGTCCGGAGGAGTACGAGCAAGCAACACAAAAGGTCCAAGGACAAAAGAACATGAAGAACCTTGTGAAAACCGTGATGCGTATGGCGATGATGATGGGCCTTGAGCCGTTCAACTTGCCTGGAGCGGGTGCAGCTTCAACGCGCGCTTCGTACGAAGCACCAACAAATTCTGGTTCCGGGAATTTCTGGTTATGGGCTTTTACAATTCTCATTTGCTTGCTTTTTGTGGTCTTTGCATGCGTGATGATGCAGAAGGTGAAGAAGTTATCAAAAAAATTGGAAAACTGCTGGGCACAGGTGGCCGATGAGGATCACTATTCAGGTCAACAGACCCAAAGGATCGATGCACTGTTTGAGCGTTGCAGGAGATTGGAAACCATCATGGACAACTATAAGGCAGAACTTCAAGATGGAATCTCAAAAATTTCAAATGAAACAAACGTGGTCCACTATTACGCAAGTGGACTTCACTACTACATAGTGGAAATTGGAGGATATTTGCGAAATGGCCTTTCAGGTGATCAATGGGTTCACCTTACAACCTTAGAGAGAGCAAACCTAGTGGCCTCAAGGACCATGGGTTCTGTTGAATATATGCGTTTGATTCGTCAACGCGGTTCAGCTCTTGGTATGGCCGACCAAACAGACCAAGGAGAACAACAAGAGGATTCAGAAAGTGACATGGATGATGACATGGAAATTGAACTTCCAATTTCAGCAGCAGTTGCTACGCCTCAAGATCGGACTGGAATGGTGGATTTTCGATGGACGAACAACTTCATCGCATTCAAAATGGAGAATTGTGGGATTCCAATGCAATTCAATACTTGTTGCTTGAATGTTTGGAAAAGGCGCGGGACGGTGTCAGAGCAGAAACCGTTGGCATGTTCCGCAGCAAAATTTCCAGACTGTTCCGAGACTTGAGGAAGAACACAAAAGACCAAAACAGATGGCAGAGCGCAACAAGGTATGATAGGATCTCACAGGACTATGCTGGATTAATTTTAAAGATTTTTTTTCCCTTGAAAATTGTGAAAGGACTGATACAAAAACAATCTTCAACACAAAACAGAGACGCAATGGACAAAAGGTGAAGCATTGAACGTTGCCCACCACTTCAAAAAGGAGTGAGAAAGAGTTTTGACAGCGTCCACAGTCATTGACACAACACAAATCTTGATGAAGTGTAACAAGTTTCAGTGGCGTTGGCATGTGAAATGCACATGACCTCATAGGCCTGTCTGGCTCAGAAAAAGGAACGGCTGCCCGTTCTCAGATTCAATTTTCCACAGCTGTGATTTCTTTTATTTGGAATATTTGTATGTCATTTTGTTTTTGAACGATCAAATTGACAACCCACAAAGAACCATTCCAATATTCATGTGTACAAGCTTCTCACATTCAATGGAAATACAAAATTGCAACAAACCCAAACAATGAGAGGCGCTGGGGCTTAGATTTTGCACTTTAGCTTTGTCGATTAGGTACTAACTCGTTTTTCCCCGAATGTATTCAATTTTGTTTGGTTGAGCAGGGCGTGTTTGCTGTTCTGACACATCCGTTTGTTTTGCGAGCTGGGGATTGTGAGCGTGCGTTATCTTCATCTAAGCGTCAGTTGACACATGCCTTTAAACCAAAAGCCTGGTACTGACGAGATGTCCATCACATGTATGACAAAAACACATATTAAAGATGGTTGAAAACAAAACAAAACTAGTTCTGCACATGCGCAAGCAACACAATACATAATTGGTGACAACTGCATAGATAAAAATCCTCGTCGAATGAAATTACCGAGATAAATTTACCGTTCAACTGTGTGTTTTTGCAGGGGCAATATCCAAACAAAATATGAAGTATCCTTGAAAAGTTGCACCATGCCCTTTGAAGGAGGGCAGTGTGCATTTCCAGATGTCTAACCCTCCTTTCAAAGGAACAGTACCCCTTTTAGAAAAATCAATATTTCTGCATATATATGCAGTATTATTGACATAGAGCATTTCTTTCAAAAGTGCAACATGTTTGAAACTGTGAGCACTATTAAAAAATGCCCTTTCGCTTCTTACCACTGAACAACAGAATATTGTCCTGTATGGCAAAAAAAAATCTTGTGGGGAAGCAGCATTCTTGGAAAACTGGATTACTTTTGTTTGACATGTGTTCTCTTCCCCTTGGTCAGATCAACCCAGCCTTCATTTAGACAACCCTCACTGAAAAAAATGTTTTTCAATACAATCCAGCAATAATGTTTTCGTTTAATCAAATATCTCACTCATATCAAGGGGGTGTTGCACAAATTCAACAACAGATTCTTCAACGACGACCATACTCTTTCAAAAGAGTGCCACATGCATACAGTATACCATATGTTCAAACAATGTTTGGTTGTCTTAGAATATAAAGATGCACATTCTTCAAATTACAATATTTTTCAAAAGGAGAACTGCCTACACCAAAGGGTGTTATTCCCAAAATATGGTTCGTTGTCTTGGAAAAATATCACATTATGCATTCAGGAAAATGATGTGCAATTGTGAAGGACATATTTTACGTGCTTACATGTACCATGTCTTCTTGATTTAAAAAAATATACTGTGAAAGGGCATTGCATGTGTAAAAGGGTTCATTTTTGACATAGAAGTAAACTAAGACATGACCTACTTTAATGAGATGCCCTACCATTTTAAAAGAAATGCACTTGTTGAAGGGAACACTCACTTCAAAGAGATGCATCACTCCTTTTCAAGGGAATCCTCAAAGTGTTTGAACATGTGTTAACTCACGGGTTTGAGCCAACAATGTCAATCTCAAAATCAGTTCTACACATTCATTGGCTGCCTATGTTTTTGCATTTGTTCAACACAGTTTTTGAAAAATTACATAAACAGACAAAATTGCCTAATCTGTGTCCCAACCCCCCAAGCTTCCTCCAGTGATACCTGCATTTTGCCATGGTTTTTTTACATTGTTGTTTTAATGGAACCACAGGCCCAAAGCAACCAATAAAATCAACCAAAAACAAGTTTGCGCCCCTAAAGTGGGAGAACTGGCAAAGAGTGAGGTCTAGGTCCTTCGCTTTTGTGTTGTTTTGCCAGCCTTTCAAAAAACCAACAACGAACCAGAAAACAAGAAACCAAGAAACCAAAAAACTTAAAAAAACAAAACACCCAAAAAACAAAAACAAAAAACCAAAAAAACAAGAAACAAAAAAAACAAAATTCCTAACCCCAAGAAACCTAATCTTTGTTACTTTCATGAATTTGTTTTTTTTGTTTTTATTTGTTTTTTTGTTTTTGTTTTTTTCCTTTTTTCCTTTTCCCTTTGCAGCAGATTGGCATAGGCCAACAGACATGCAGCAGATAAATAATTGATTTTTAGATAATTTGGGGAAAATTATTGCAAAATATTGGAAATTTGTGCACGCTGGTGGTGCCCTGTTCTGTTTGTTTTCGGGTTGGACCTGCTCACGAGGGGGTAATCATTTGAAACAATTAAATGTAATAACAAAATTGGAATTTTTGACCGTTCGTTCCATGTTTCAAATCTCTGGTTGCAATTTGATGAGCAGTGGCATGAACATGCGTCATGGGCCAAACAAAACAACCAAAAACTTAGAACTTCGAATTTACATGTGTGGCCATGATGCTAGGTACCACGGCGTTTTCAATCATTACATCGCACAAATTGTGAACATAACGTGCAGAAAACAAACGTGAAACGAATAAAGGTTGGGACTGTCGAACCCACGAATTTACATGTTGGTGATGATGGTGATGATGGTGATGATGGTGATGAGGATGAAATGGACCACACGGGAAAAAACGTGTTTTACGACGCCCCGCAGCCCCAGTCGGTTGGCTACCCTTGAAACATTGTATTTTTACACATTGGTATTTACATAAAATCCGCACACCACTGATGGTTAATGTCACTTTTTCAAGATAATTTAACTGATGCGTCCATTCGTTGTCCAGAATATTTTGTCATTTGTGGTCTCCATTTGGCCATTTGGCAGTCAGGGCAGAGCCATGGTGACAAGTGTGGATTATCCTATCCATCTTGGCTTAGCGTACCTTTTTCTTGGAGGCGGGAAGAACGCGCGATTCAAAAAATGTGTATTTGAACGTTTTCTTTGTTTTCTTGGTTTTCTTTGTTTGCCCAAAATTTCAAAAAACTGAAACGTATTGATGTTGAAACACAAAACGAAAGACCAACAATTCATCGAAAATGGGTAGGTCTAGGTCGGTCGGGTGAACATCCTGGCATCAATTTTGTTTATTCGTGACATGTCCGAATTTTGTTGTCCCAACGATCACCTCGGAAACCCTCTATAAACCCTCTAAATCGTCGAAGTGAATTCCGAGATCTTTTGCCCAAACTGTTGGTGGTAGCGATACCAATTGGTCTGTGACGATGGTCTGCCCAGGTTATGTTGCCAGCCGCATTTTCCGCGCTTTGAACTTGCCGGGAGCCGTTGGAATTATTGCCACTCGGTGACCTGATTTGGTACCCGTCTTGGAGTGGCTTCATGGAAAAATGACAGGAACCGAACCAACGACTGGAACCGAACCCCAAATCCTGAAAACCACATGGAAATCGAGTGTTTTGCATCCGAAACATTTCTGGCCCCATGTTTGAGAGCACATTGGATGCAACTCACCCTTCCATGAATGCACAAAAACACATTAATCCTCATGGCATTGCGTTCACACGTTCAAAAGTCAGGCAGTTTTGATTGTCTTGAATCAAGACGGACGTGTTTTCCCATGTTTTGTGATATGACAGTGTGTCAAAACCTTGTACCCCTGGTGAACGTCAAAATAGCTGGTACATGGATGTTCATCCCCCTAAAAATGGTATTAATAGGTATTGATCCATACCCATATCATCCGGCGAGGTCAATGGATTTATCTTTTCGCATTTCATCCAGTTGGATCTGCTGCAGGCGGCTGGTTTCATGTTCCAAAGATCACCAGGGTGAAACGAAGGGACCTGCCAACTTGGTATGGAAACATTTGTAGAACCTCTGATTTATTCACATTTGTTTTTCTGAATGCCATTTGGCATTCATAAACTTGTTTGGATGGAAATTACCATCCCGAATTCCTGGTTGTTTTTATACCCAGTTTGTGGTGGCGCTAAAGCGGTGCTTTGTTATGAATCCATGGTCTTGTGGGGGCCCTATTCGCGTATGATCCCTCAGCCTGCTTATTGTGTATTCCTAATTCGCTGCGCAGGGTCGCGATCATTTGCAGAGTCTGGCATTCTTTCTGGTGCTACTCACTGCTGGCTTTGATGCTTGGCCACTGCTTGGGTCTCCGAACCGTGCCCGAAATCTAGGTGCCTCCTGCTGCTGCTGCTGTTGCTGCTGCTGCTGATGATGCTGATGATGATGATGATGATGATGATGTGGATGTGGGGTTATTCTACCGGTTTTTTGGCGCAGACTTCGGCATCAAAAGTGTGACTTCAGAAACTGAAAAGCTGCTGGGTTCAAGCTCCATCAAGGGGATTGTTTCACAGTTTTTACCAAGTAACCTGGCAATGGGAATCTTACATTTGTGCCAATTAATGTGAATGATTTACAAGGATGGATAGGATGGTTCAACATTCCATGTGAATATTGTCGTCCAGCCATGTTTGATGAAACCACATGGTAAAAATTCTATTTGATCAGCTGGATGGTTCTCACCCACCGGTGAGGAAATCTCCATGGACGAGTTGAGACTCGTGACCTTTGTCAGTGGCCCAGATGGGCCCAGTTGGGCCCAGCTTCGGGATGGGCCCAGGGTTGATGGCTTGACCTTGAGGTCTTCGCCATTTTTCCGGTGACCCTGGAGTTTTTGGGCATCGCAGTTGCTCGGCACAGAAGCTTTTCAGATTTTTCTTGTACCGTCATCTTCTTCTTCTTCTTCTTGTGGTGGTGGTGGTGGTGGTGGTGGTGTTGGTACAGTTATGGCCATTTACCAGTTATAACTGGCTATAAATGGGATTATACATTCTATAAATGGGGTTATAAGCATTTATAACTGATAAATGGCCATAACTGTAGTGGTAGTTGTGGTGGTTGTCATCATCGTCGTTTTGGTCTGATTGTGCAAAAAACTACGCTGGGAGATGCTGGGAGATGAACATCCAGTGAACTACCAACGACATATGACATAGTGCTCACCGGGTTCCCAAGGTTTTGACCCATAACTACCCTCTGGTAATTTAACATAGCTATTGAAAATGGCCATTTATAGTGGATTTTCCCATTAAAAAATGGTGATTTTCCATAGCTATGTTAAATTACCAGAGGGTAAATTAAATTATCTACAGATGGTTGAAGTTCGAATGATCTTTCATCAGGCATTGGTTCGCGCTTTGTTTTTCTAAGTTACCAATTGAATTCAATTCATGTTTCTTTGTAATTTCCCCGCATTTTTGTCAACTGACATATCACCCCCTCCCCATTTTTGGGCTGATTTTGGCCGGCCGGTCGTCCCTTCGGGAGGCTTATGCCGTGAACATGCTGCAGTATACAGTTGTGGAAGGTCTGGTGTTGGGCATCACACTCTGCTGATGCTTGGACGTGATGGGGGATAGACGCGCAGAGGTGTCGAAAGGGTGTAACTTTCATGTTTTGGACACCTCCATACGTTCTGTAAATATGTTAGTCCGTAAAGATAACATGTGACTTTGTGTTCATGTTCACGAAAATGTTCACCATCCATATAATCCATATAAATTCATGAAATCCTTGGTTCAACCTTCGGGGTGTTTTTTTTTGGCAGACGACAGGTCTGACCATCCATGGTTGATCCATGGATTTTTTTCTTCCAAGGTTTGGGCGATGGCTTGGTGATCCCGAAGATGGTGGAATTCAAAGAGTGCGAGGACTTCAAAGATCTGCGCCTACCAAGGCCAGGCTACGGCGCCACGGGGGGCGGCTGGAAGTTCACGGTCCATTTTAGGGCTAGAAATAACTTACCCGGCCTGGTAAACATAGAAAAAGCTATTGAAAATGGTGATTTATAGTGGATCTACCCATGAAAAATGGTGGATCTTTCCATAGTTATGTGGCTGTTTACCAGAGGGTAACTTATGTAACGGTAGATAACGGTATAACCAAACCTGGTATGTTCAACAGTATGCAAAAATGGTATGTTCATGTAGTTGAAACATCTGTTGCCGAGCAAAAAGTGGCTGTCCATGAGCTCAATATTGGAGCTCGGCGATGCTGATTTTCCCATGGGTCAAGAGAAATCTCTCAACCATGTGTATTAACCTGATAAAACTACCAACCATTTATTTGATATGTCTAGCCACTAGCCTTCTACGTTATCTATTCTTAACATTTCTTAAGTGGTAATTAATCATACTCCTGTTCCGTTTCATTGCCAGGGGTTTTCTTTGGTTCAGCCAAGGTTGGTGTTCAATTGGGCGCCTTTGGCTGCTTGGCTGAAGTGAAGTCTGGTATGTTGGAGTCCCCAGATCTGATCGACCATCTGGTGACTGACATTCACAGGGCTAGCCATGGAAAAATCCCACCATTTTTAAGACGAAAAAAACACCATCTATTTCGATAAATGGGCCATGGAATCTATACCATGGCGAACTGTGAATGTCATAACCAGAGGCTATCTGTTTTTTTCTCCAGCTTCCATTCTTTTTGGGACACAACCCATTTTCCAGCGTCTAAAATGGACAATTTGGGGATTCGAGACGTGAATCATGAACGATTTGGCCATCCCAGGATTTTGTGCCGGTCAAATCCGAAGAAAAAGGGCCCAGGGAAAAAAAGGCCAGTGCTATGAGTGATTCTTGACATCCAAAACTCTGATGATTATTCGATCCCTATGGTGAAATAATCAACATGATCAACGTGCTTCCCACACCCCTTAGACGTTCAGTTCTTTATTGAGATTTTCTGGCACACTGGAAGTTCAACCAACTGAGCAGCTGTGAAACAGTACCCCCACTGAGGAAGCCTCCTACATCTTGACACTCTTCGGTGTCATCCAGGGTCTTGCTGAGCCTGCGGAACAGGCCGAAGTTTGGCCGAAATCCATAGAAACTCATGGATATGATGATGATGATGATGATGATGATGATGACAAGTATTTTCCCCAAACCTTTCAGACACTGGGCGATGTCGGTGCAGGAGACATCTTCCTTGTCTGGCTTGGTGTCTCGGCTCGCACCGTTCATGGTGGCATCATTGTTCACCATGAAATATGGTACACATCACCTAAGCTATGGGAATATTAACCAACAGCTATGGGGACTTTTGAGTGAACATGATAGTTTAATGGTGCGATGGGTTACAGGAACATATTCTGATTGTTAGAATACCACTGATAACATCTTTTCAAGCAACTTTGTTTAGACAGGAAGTTTCTGGAACCTGTTTTAAAGGGTGATGTTCGGAAAATTGATGTCCCACTACGGGGACTGGGCGGGTATCTCCGATTTCGAGACAACCCCAAATATCAATTTGTTGCTTATATACTGGTACCTGTAATTAGTTGATACACCTCCCCATTTGTGTTGGTTACATCAACATCCCCATTTTTCGACTATGCATTATATATATATATATCAAATTATATCCCACGAGTTGTATTTTTTGTTGATCCCCATATTTTCGTGCCGAATCTGGCCATCCCAATCAGATTTTCCAAGGTCGTGACGAACATCCTGAGACTCGCCTCTCGGCGATGACCCTCTGGTGATTTCATGGCTAAACTGGAAAATGACCACGAAAATCCATGGCTAGTGACGTTTTCATCCATGGTTTATCATCTGTGCCATGGCTTCCATAGCATAACCGTTATTGGTAGCTATAGCAGATGTCGCCAAAAAATAGGTGGCGACCGTCTTCTTCGGTCGCTTTCTGGGCTATGTGGCGGCACGCGTCATCACCAAAGGCAGGGTTGGTCATGGAAAAACCAGCCGTTCCAAGCGTTCCAGCCATGGTGTCATAGGGAACTGGGTGTGAAAAAATGGGTGCGGTAAAATGGAACTGGCACTTTGGAGAAAATGATGATGCTCATCAGTATGTCTTGTCATGGGAGATGGCACCAGCACGGTTTCGCCATGGCGGAGGCTATTCAATTGATTGAGTTCGGGGAAATTCTGAAGCAAGTCACAGTTTTTGTGATTAAAATTCAATAAATTTGCTTTAGACTTCGAAGCAATGAATTTTGGGACCGGTTCGGCAAGGGAACTGTCTTGAAACATTTGACCTTGAACAATGACATTGGGGAACAAGTGCCAAGTCCCCTACAAAAGTGAGAGATGCACCGTGGATTTCTCTTTCCAGGACAAGTTGCACTAATCCCAATGGTTAATTCTCAATTTGGCAGTGAATTTGGCCTAATTTGGCCTATATTGATGGCTATAATTGGCCTATATTAATCCCATTATTAATCCCATTATTAACCATTATTAACCATTATTAACCATTATTAACCATTATTAACCATTATTAACCATTATTAACCATTATTAACCCATTATTAACCATTATTAACCATTATTAACCATTATTAACCCATTATTAACCATTATTAACCCATTATTTGATCCCATTAACCATGGCCGATTTTCTGCATCGTATCCCACCTTCTCCGCTGCGTCGAAAACGCTGCAGAACGTGACCACTGGACGCTGCCGAGAGCCAAAGACGTCGCTGGGATCACGCTGGGAGCGGATGACACTGGGAATCCACTAGAAATGGACGGTTTTTACTGGGAAAGTCATCTACAGTTATGGCCATTTACCAGTTATAACTGGTTATAAATGGGATTATACATTCTATAAATGGGGTTATAAGTACTTATAACTGATAAATGGCCATAACTGTATAAATGGTGGAGTATGTATGAAAGGATGGAAGCAACAATACCAACTGCAAGAGTGGAGAATTCAAGGGACAGGAGTGTCCATATGACCAACAATCATGGCTGTATGACTTGTGCTTCAGAGCTTGCTCATGCCTGTGTAAGGATTTTCGGGACGGATCCACATTCACTTTTTTCATCTTTTCTCCCAGTCGAAAGATTCATTTTGAAATTAGTTTTGAACTGCATGTACCCATGGTCTTGTTCCTTCCAGGGTGATTCTTGGGAGTTTCCAGTATAAAGCTTTGCTGCAGCTTTAATGTGGTAAACTCTGTTGAACAGGTTCCAATTCTCAACCCTTTAGTAAAGGTCTTTCCACATCATCGAAAATCATGAAAAATCCATGAAAATACGGGCCCTACCTAATACCCAACAATCACCCCAAATGGGGATGGTACTCTTATGGGGATGGTACCACGAAAAATTCTCCATTTCGCATCCACAATTAGAGTGGCCAAGGAAAGCATCCCGTTTATACGGTCGATGATGTAATTAGCCGAAGAATATATGGGAAAGAAATGGAAAAAAAACAAACACATTGTCGTAATATATGCTAAATTGATGTAACTTGTGAGTTTTTAGCATAAATGGATGGGAAGGAAACCATGCGCAAATGGGGATCCCAATCTGCAACTGGCGGTCGTTGAGGTCTTGGCAAAAGTGCCTCTTCATGGCTACCTTCCTATGGAACCGCAGGAATGGGAGGGGGTCATGGAGGCAATAGCTCTCAGGGCAGAGCGCAGGTATTTTGATGTCCCTTCCCGCCTAACTCAGCAATTTTCGCAGGATTTGGGAATGTCTCCAGTCATTCCCATTCTTCCAAAGTACCCCATTTTTCGAGCTTGAAGAAAGTACCCAGTGTCTCCTAGACATGGGAGGCAGGGGCTGTGATGATACATATACCTTCGCTTTCTTAACCACAATAACCCCCAGATATGTACCAAACATAGGATCGCAATTATATATTCGGATTATAATAGGATCACTAAATTATATGATAGGATTCATTCATCGGATTCTAATATAGGGCTTTTGTTTATGGGATTATATATTACAGAAGATTAGAAAATCGGATAAAAAACCAGATTTCCCAGAAATACCCACAGTTTATTGAGGCTTTCAGCCCCTCCTCAGGAGACCCTGCTGGAGAGTGGCTGCAGCACCTATGGCCTCGGCGACCTCGGCGACTCCGAGTCCGACGAGCTGCTCTTCGTGGGGCGCGAGGGGCGGATGGGAGCCGTTGAGGCGCCTTCCAGCGCCATCCGTGTTTTTCCGCAGTTGGTTGGGAGCAAAAAACCAGAAATGGCTATGGATCAATACCTTTACATACCATTTTTAGGGGGATGAACAGCCATTTATCAGCTATTTTGATGTGAACTACAGGGGGATAGGGTTTTGACACACTGCCAAATGCCAAGAACTGGAGAGGGGATTTCATCAGTTTGGGATATGAGAATTTGATTGGGATATTCTGTTGAATCTAGTTGGGAGCAGTTGGGAGCAATACTGTATCAGATTACTGATCTTTGGTATCTGGTATTTTTTGGGTAACATGAGCGATTTTTTGTGTAACCCGAGAATATCAAAATACTGATCTTGGGGAATCACTTCTGAAGTAGTGTAGCTGGTTGTTCTAGTGGTCACCAAAATAAGATTATAGTCCCTCTATGATTTACCCCAAATGGGCATGCAGCATTCTTCTGAAATTGTATGGATTCCTCCAATACTCATCATCGCAAAGAATGTCAAATATCGTTTTGTTTTTTTTTGGGTAGCATGCATATATATATATATATATACGTATATATATAGAGTTATACATATACATATACAATCATTAATCTCTCTCTATATTTATGCAGTCATGGCCATTTACCAGTCATAAGTCAGTAAAAAACATAGAACAATCATCCCATTGAGAGCCACACGCAGGCGTATCTGTTGATCCTCTCGGTGGCCCTGCTGGGCTTCGGCTTAGGAGCTTCGGAGGGGATGACTATTGTGCCCATGCCCTTCAGCGCCCTGGTCTCGGTGGGGTTGTTGGGGAACAACTAGGGCTCCACTGAAACCTTGCAGGTTTTGGGTTGGAGAGATGTTTGAAGATTTTTTTGTGGAAAAATTGGGATTTTGGTGGAAAACAATGGGTGAAAGCAGCACGACATGGGGTTTGAGCTAATTTGGAATTCGCCAACAGGAATGCAACAGTTTATTTGCAAGAAACAAATGGATTTCAGCACAAGGACACGGAATTTCCAACCTTTGAGGGATGATATGATTGGATCCAATCAACATGAACAGTTCAGCCTTCCTTGATCCAAACACCATGGGGATCCAGAAGTTGCCACCAGAAAAGATTACGCGTCTGTGGCGAAATGTTGCCGGTACTTCTGCTATTCGTCGTAAAGCCAAAAGGAGATCCAAGTCTTCAACTTACTGGTACTAATCATCTAGTCGCAGGTCGGGTGTCATGGGATGATAAGTGTCATAGTCACTATACGGATTACCCTCTGGTAAACAGCCACATAACTATGGAAAATCACCATGCTATTAATGGGAAAATCAACTATTTCAATGGGCCATTTTCAATAGCAAACTGTAACAAATTACCAGAGGGTATTCCCTACCATTCCCTACGAAATCGACTGAGCAAAAAGGCATCCATGCCATCTCAGAACAGCGAGGTTCTGGGTCCATGTTTCAACCAGAGCTTTTGGTCATCGTCATCGGTTGCTCGGCGACGATCTCCCCGTTTCGCTGTCATCGCCGTGGCAGGTTAAAACTCAATGGAGGTTTACAGCTGGGAAAATCATCGAACTAAATGATGGATTTTCCATTGATAGGTTTGATTTCCGAAGGGTAATTTATTCTTATTTTTTCGCCAAGCAAGTGAAACTTGATGGATCTTGGATGGATCTCAGCTGATGTGTTCTGGACATCTTCTGAGTGTTGCGTATTTAAACATATTTTTTGTATCATATCGGATTGTAGAGTGTACCACGTACCAGGTGATTTTTTGAAACCGAAGAATTCTGATTTGACCAAAGGATCCACGAATGTCCCGATTGTTACTGGTGATTTTCCTATAGCTGATATATATATATATATATATATATTCTGTTCATCCTATGTATATTATTTAGTTATATATTATATATATATAGATGAACTTGGTAAACATCCGCTGACGGACTGTGAAAAAAATGCACGTTGGAGCTGAGGCGCCTGCTTCGCATTCTTTGCGGAGCACTTCGATGAACAGGTGCCGATCCATTTTTGAACCACGGAAATGCCGAAGAGTCCCAAACAAGTGTCTGAGTCTGAACATCTGAAAATTGGGATAAATATAACGCTGTGCTGCGCTGCGCCAGGTGGCTGAGGAACTTCTGGAGGAACACTTAGAGGACGGAAAAATGGTGAAACATCGAGGCATCACATGGTGAAAACATGGTGAAAACATGGTGAAACAAATGGTGAAACAAATGGTGAAACAAATGGTGAAACAAATGGTGAAACAAATGGTGAAACAAATTTTAATGAAAATGGTGAAGAAATGGTGAAAGAAATCCAAACATGGTGAACTTTGATGGTGAAATGGTGAAAAATTGAGGAGCTGCAAATTTTTTCTTGACTTGAACGAAAGCAAGACTTCAGGAGCTGAAAATGGAGCAGCAAAAGCAATTGAAGCTGGGCTATGAATGCGTCCATGTGGGTCAATGTCGTTGGGGGTAGGTGCACAGGCAACGAAAACATTGCTGGGATCTGGAAGAATCATCCATCAACCATCATCATCAGGATGCTTGTCGTTATTTACAAGTAAGGGGAAAAGGTATGACCAACGAACGCATTTTCTAGTCATTGGGGCCCGTTTGTATAGCTGCAGGTGTCATTCACGAAAATATGTGCACACTCACACAAGAAATGAACAATGGATATAATAAGATTAGACATACCGTAATATACCATATACATATATGAATATGTAAATGTATGTGTATATATATATTATTGCATATATATATATGTATGTACACACATATATGTATATATATATAATACATATACATGTAAATACAGCACACACAGAAAACTCAGCACCCTGTGGTTCGATGTACGTGGCTCCCTCATGATCCCCTTTGACTAAATAGTGCTCTGCCTCTCGGCCAAGCTGCCCCCACCAATTCGTTCGCAAGAATTACATAGACTAAAGGGGGTCCACAGTTTTTTTTTGTTTCTAAGTATTCTAAGTATTCTAAATATTCTAAGTGTTCTAAATATTCTAAGTATTCTAAGTGTTCTAAGTACACGCTCAAAAGAATCAAGCAGCCAGCCTGGAATTCTGGTCCTCAGGGACGACTTGACGGCCGAATTTGAGAAGAAAATCAGAGAAGCGGCCTCGATGCTCGGATGGTCCAATGGTCCAATGGGATATAAATCATAAAACCATTGGAGATTTCTGGGGATATGTCCTGGATTTGATACAATGAAAGAACTGCAAATAAAAATCAGCTGAAGTTGGATTCACCCATTGGGATGGTCATGCGCGTCATGTGCACCATTTTCATGCTGGGATCGTGCTATTCATAGGAAAAACCGCTGGACTCCCATGCTGGGGTCCCAAATCCAATGGTTTGGATGGTGATGGCATTCCCCCCCTGTTTGACTCCCAGTTGTCTTCTAGTTTCGATCTAAAGTTGTGGTTAGCATGATGGAACAGGTTCTGGAGTGTTTACACTTTTCCAAAAAACATCACAGTCACATAATTTCTTCAAATACACACGGCGATATGTCAATGCATACCACCATACTGTTTTTTCTTGGGGGCATGAATAGCTGTACCAGTCATTTTCTGTGAAATGGCCCATAGCATCATACCCGTCATACTGCGGAACATACGTGGGCGTTTCTCAAACTTGGGTGTCCAAGACCGTTGGTTCCCCCAATTAAAAGGATACATTTTGAATGATTCTGGAGTCCATGTTGAGAAACCACCATAGCATCTTCCCATTATTGGTTCTATACCATAAACAGTAGTTGATTATATTCTATTCATGATATCATAATTTATACATATTTATACTATATCACATATCCCTATGCTTGGTGTCCCAATTTAGGTCCCAATCCTTGCAGGAAGCAGGAGTTCGAGACCTGCCGGGAGGAGGTGAGAAAGCTGAAGGAAGAGATGGACTACGAACAGGTCACGGGTCGTCACGGGTCGTCACGGGCATTGCGACATGTAGAGAGCTCAAAGAGCAGAGCAGAGCTTTTTACAAATCGTGTAGATTTGAAGGTTTCCATAGGAAGTCATGCTGGTACCCCGCCCCTTAAAATTCCAATAGCTGGATGGTTTTTTTCGTGGAAAATCTCATGAAAATAGATGATTTTGGGTGTACCTCCATATATGGAAACCCCCATTTGGATGATTTTTATGGGTGCCACCATTTGGATGTTGGGATAATGGTGATTCACCGATGGATTTCATGTTTTTTGGTCATTATCAATGCCCCTGTGACCGTTGCTGTTTCAAAGCCTTAAATACATCACCTTGGACGCTTGAAAACATATAAATTTCTTCCATCCACCGTACTTCCAGTGAACGTGGCAACGTCCCACTCAATCGTTTGACCCCCGCGATACTCCGATACACAGTGGAACTTGCAACCAACCCTTTCTTCAGATCTGACCTTGGAAATTCGTCCATGTGGGTTTGTCTGAAAGTGGGCGACCTCTAAATGCATTGCTTAAACCATTATTTTCCCTATTAACTGGTCATTCCCCAGATAGCTGGCAAGCTATAGGGGTTCTTACTTCTCAAAGGTGGGGTCTTCGGTGGCGAACTTTTGAGCCCAGGGTGCTGTGCAGGGTGCTGTCCAGACTGCGGTGGCGAAGTCTGGAAAAGGTGCTGTGCAGGGTGCTGTGCAGGGTGCTGTGCAGGGTGCTGTGCAGGGTGCTGTGCAGGGTGCTGTCCAGACTGCAGTGGCGAGAGCAGTGGCGAAGTCTGGCAAAGGTGCTGCGCAGGGTGCTGTGCAGAGTGCTGTTCAGACTGCAGTGGCGAAGTCTGGCAAAGGTGCTGTGCAGGGTGCTGTCCAGACTGCGGTGGCGAAGCCTGGCAAAGGTGCTGTGCAGGGTGCTGTGCAGGGTGCTCTCCACACTGCGGTGGCGAAGTCTCGCAAAGGTGCTGTGCAGGGTGCTGTGAAGGGTGCTGTGCAGGGTGCTGGGCAGGGTGCTGTGCAGCGTGCTGTGCTTTGGTTCTCACGTTGGGAACCATCAGTTCCAACCTTTAGGAACTGGAAGTTCTTTGCAATGGTAACCTATGGTTCCCAAGTTGGGAAGCATGAGTTCCAACCTCTGGTAACCGGCAGTTGCTTGCAATGGTAACCCATGGTTCCCAGGTTGGGAACCAGGAGTTCCAACCTCTGGGAACCGGCAGTTCCTTGCAATGGTAACCTGTGGTTCCCACGTTGGCAACAGTGAGCTCCAACCTTTGGGAACCGGCAGTTCCTTGCCATGAACCAAACGCAAACATTCCGGTACCGGTCCATTAAGCAAAACAAAGCGTTTTTTACCGGTCCATTAAGCAAAACCAAAAAGTTGTAAAGAAACTGTTTTCATATCATTTTAACATGCACCTTTTTCGTGCAAAAACATTTTTATGCCGGCCCAACAGCCAAACGCAAACATTCCGCTACCGGTCCTTTAAGCAAAACAAAAGGTTCTGTTACCGGCTCAGTAAACAAAAGAAAACAACATTAAGAACTATGAGTTTTAACTTTTTGCAATCAACAGATCCTTCCACTGGTAACGTTACTTTTTCAGGCTTGGAACCATGAGTTTCAAGCTTTGGGAACCCGCAGTTCCTTACAATGAAAGCCGCTTAGCTTCGAAAGCAAAAATTCTAACTTCTGGGAACCGGCAATTACTTGCAATGGCAACCTCTGTTTCCCAGGATGGGAACCCTAAGTTTCAAGGTCTGGGAACCGGCAGTTCCTTGCCATGGTAACCTTTGGTTCCCACGTTGGGAACCATCAGTTCCAACCTTTAGGAACTGGAAGTTCTTTGCAATGGTAACCTATGGTTCCCAGGTTGGGAAGCATGAGTTCCAACCTCTGGGAACCGGCAGTTGCTTGCAATGGTAACCTCTGGTTCCCAGGTTGGGAAGCATGAGTTCCAACCTCTGGGAACCGGCGGTTCCTTGCAATGGTAACCTGTGGTTCCCACGTTGGCAAGCGTGAGTTCCAACCTTTGGGACCCGGCAGTTCCTTGCCATGAACCAAACGCAAACATTCTGGTACCGGTCCATTAAGCAAAACAAAGCGTTCTTTACCGGTCCATTAAGCAAAACCATAAAGTTGTAAAGAAAATGTTTTCATATCATTTTAACATGCACCTTTTTCGTGCAAAAACATTTTTATGCCGGCCCAGCAGCCGAACGCAAACATTCCGCTACCGGTCCATTAAGCAAAACAAAAGGTTCTGTTACCGGCTCAGTAAACAAAACAAAACAACATTAAGAACCATGAGTTCTAACTTTTTGGAATCAACAGATCCTTCCACTGGTAACGTATGCTTTTTCAGGTTTGGAACCATGAGTTTCAAGCTTTCGCAACCGGCAATTCCTTACAATGATAGTTGCTTAGCTTCGAAAACAAAAATTCTAACTGCTGGGAACCGGCAATTCCTTGCAATGGTCTGGGAACCGGCAGTTCCTTGCCATGGCAACCTTTGGTTCCCACGTTGGGAACCATCAGTTCCAACCTTTAGGAAACGGAAGTTCTTTGCAATGGTAACCTATGGTTCCCAGGTCGGGAGGCATGAGTTCCAACCTCTGGTAACCGGCAGTTGCTTGCAATGGTAACCCATGGTTCCCAGGTTGGGAACCAGGAGTTCCAACCTCTGGGAACCGGCAGTTCCTTGCAATGGCAACCTGTGGTTCCCACGTTGGCAACCGTGAGTTCCAACCTTTGGAAACCCGCAGTTCCTTGCCATGAACCAAACGCAAACATTCCGGTACCGGTCCATTAAGCAAAACAAAGCGTTCTGTACCGGTCCATTAAGCAAAACCATAAAATTGTAAAGAGAATGTTTTCATATCATTTTGACATGCACCTTTTTCGGTCAAAAACCTTTTCATGCCGGCCCAACAGCCAAACGCAAACATTCCGCTACCGGTCCATTAAGCAAAACCAAAGGTTCTGTTACCGGCTCAGTAAACAAAACAAAACAACATTAAGAACCATGAGTTCTAACTTTTTGCAATCAACAGATCCTTCCACTGGTAACGTTACTTTTTCAGGCTTGGAACCATGAGTTTCAAGCTTTGGGAGCCCGCAGTTCCTTACAATGAAAGCCGCTTAGCTTCGAAAACATAAATTCTAACTTCTGGGAACCGGCAATTCCTTGAAATGGTAACCTCTGGTTCCCAGGTTGGGAACCGTAAGTTTCAAGGTCTGGGAACCGGCAGTTCCTTGCCATGGTAACCTTTGGTTCCCACGTTGGGAACCATCAGTTCCAACCTTTACGAACTGGAATTCTTTGCAATGGTAACCTGTGGTTCCCAGGTGGGAACCGGCAGTTGCTTGCAATGGTAACCTCTGGTTTCCAAGGTTGGAACCATGCATTCCAACCTCTGGGAACCGGCAGTTCCTTGCAATGGTAAGTTGTGGTTGCCACGTTGGCAACAGTGAGTTCCCACCTTTGGGAACCGGCAGTTCCTTGCCATGAACCAAACGCAAACATTCCGGTACCGGTCCATTAAGCAAAACAAAGCGTTCTTTACCGGTCCATTAAGCAAAACCATAAAGTTGTAAAGAAAATGTTTTCAGATCATTTTAATATGCACCTTTTTCGTGCAAAAACATTTTTATGCCGGCCCAGCAGCCGAACGCAAACATTCCGCTACCGGTCCATTAAGCAAAACAAAAGGTTCTGTTACCGGCTCAGTAAACAAAACAAAACAACATTAAGAACCATGAGTTTTAACTTTTTGGAATCAACAGATCCTTCCACTGGTAACGTATGCTTTTTCAGGTTTGGAACTGTGAGTTTCAAGCTTTCGCAACCGGCAATTCCTTACAATGATAGTTGCTTAGCTTCGAAAACATAAGTTCTAACTTCTGGGAACCGGCAATTCCTTGCAATGGTCTGGGAACCGGCAGTTCCTTGCCATGGTAACCTTTGGTTCCCACGTTGGGAACCGTCAGTTCCAACCTTTAGGAACCGGAAGTTCTTTGCAATGGTAACCTATGGTTCCCAGGTTGGGAAGCATGAGTTCCAACCTCTGGTAACCGGCAGTTGCTTGCAATGGTAACCCATGGTTACCAGGTTGGGAAGCATGAGTTCCAACCTCTGGTAACCGGCAGTTGCTTGCAATGGTAACCCATGGTTCCCAGGTTGGGAACCAGGAGTTCCAACCTTTGGGAACCGGCAGTTCCTTGCAATGGTAACCCGTGGTTCCCACGGTGGCAACCGTGAGTTCCAACCTTGACCTTTGGGACCCGGCAGTTCCTTGCCATGAACCAAACGCAAACATTCCGGTACCGGTCCATTAAGCAAAACAAAGCGTTCTTTACCCGTCCATTAAGCAAAACCAAAAAGTCGTAAAGAAAATGTTTCCATATCATTTTAACATGCACCTTTTTCGTGCAAAAACATATTTATGCCGGCCCAACAGCCGAACGCAAACATTCCGCTACCGGTCCATTAAGCAAAACAAAAGGTTCTGTTACCGGCTCAGTAATCAAAACAAAACAACATTAAGAACCATGAGTTCTAACTTTTTGCAATCAACAGATCCTTCCACTGGTAACGTATGCTTTTTCAGGTTTGGAACCATGAATTTCAAGCTTTGGGAACCCGCAGTTCCTTACAATGATAGTTGCTTAGCTTCGAAAACAAAAATTCTAACTTCTGGTAACCGGCAATTCCTTGCAATGGCAACCTCTGGTTCCGAGGTTGGGAACCGTAAGTGTCAAGGTCTGGGTACCGGCAGTTCCTTGCCATGGTAACCTTTGGTTCCCACGTTGGGAACCATCAGTTCCAACCTTTACGAACTGGAATTCTTTGCAATGGTAACCTGTGGTTCCCAGGTGGGAACCGGCAGTTGCTTGCAATGGTAACCTATGGTTCCCAGGTTGGGAAGCATGAGTTCCAACCTCTGGGAACCGGCAGTTGCTTGCAATGGTAGCTTCTGGTTCCCAGGTTGGGAACCAGGAGTTCCAACCTCTGGGAACCGGCAGTTCCTTGCAATGGTAACCTGTGGTTCCCACGTTGGCAACCGTGAGTTCCAACCTTTGGGACCCGGCAGTTCCTTGCCATGAACCAAACGTAAACATTTCGGTACCGGTCCATTAAGCAAAACAAAGCGTTCTTTACCGGTCCATTAAGCAAAACCATAAAATTGTAAAAAAACTGTTTTCATATCATCTTGACATGCACCTTTTTCGTGCAAAAACATTTTTATGCCGGCCCAGCAGCCGAACGTAAACATTCCGGTACCGGTCCATTAAGCAAAACAAAGCGTTCTTTACCGGTCCATTAAGCAAAAACATAAAATTGTAAAAAAACTGTTTTCATATCATCTTGACATGCACTTTTTTCGTGCAAAAACATTTTTATGCCGGCCCAGCAGCCGAACTCAAACATTCCGCTACCGGTCCATTAAGCAAAACAAAAGGTTCTGTTACCGGCTCAGTAAACAAAACAAAACAACATTAAGAACCATGAGTTTTAACTTTTTGGAATCAACAGATCCTTCCACTGGTAACGTATGCTTTTTCAGGTTTGGAACTGTGAGTTTCAAGCTTTCGCAACCGGCAATTCCTTACAATGATAGTTGCTTAGCTTCGAAAACATAGATTCAACTTCTGGTAACCGGCAATTCCTTGCAATGGCAACCTCTGGTTCCCAGGTTGGGAACCCTGAGTTTCAAGGTCTGGGAACCGGCAGTTCCTTGCCATGGTAACCTTTGGTTCCCGCGTTGGGAACCATCAGTTCCAACCTTTTCTATCTGGGGTCTATGCCGGTGTAATTTTTTAATATATAAATATGTATATTTATGGGTATAACTAATTTTCAAACAGACCCATATTTTGGATTTTCGCATCTCGCAACATTTGGAAGTCAACCATCCCTCGAAAAAAAGTGGGTGGAATCTTCCGAGATGCCATGGACTCCCACCATTCTGACAGGCGGAGGTGAAGGCCACATCACACAACCCTGCCACTGTCGAAGGCGTCATGGCGATTGTATCTTAGTCATTTGCTGTCTGAAAATGGGGCGTATCCGGCGATTCTTTTCAGGCTCGGAATTATTCAGTTTCCAGGAGACTATTTGACGAAGATATAGCTGTCAAATTGTTTCGCAAAGAAAATTGCTATCAGATTCATTGAACGCATTGAACCACATATCTTCATCAAGTTGTTCAATATAGCTACGATTACCGTATATCCTTCCAATGGACCACTTGTCGACGCAGATCCGTGAGAGTTGATGTGGTGCCCAGTAGTGGCACTGACCTTTGGCTATATATATATATATGTATACACACAAACGTACAAATGTATCTATCTATCTATCTATCTAAATATATATGTATATATATACATATTTCCGCATATGTATGTATATATGTGTATATGTATACAATAAAAGGGTAGAATGGGAACAATACTTGAGAACAAACTGTATTTTTTTTTTTTGTGAGGTTTCCAAAGGAACATCCAATAGCAATGACTATTTGACTAACTTGCCATTTTTTCACTTGTTTCAGAGAGGCGATTTTCCCCAAGATTACCAAGATTTATGAACCAGGGGTTGTAGGGATTACGTGCATATATATGTATATATGTATATATGTATATATGTATATATGTATATATGTATATATGTATATATGTATATATGTATATATGTATATATGTATATATGTATATATGTATATGTATATGTATATGTATATGCATATGCATATGCATATGTATATGTAAATGTATACGTATATGTATATGTATATGTATATGTATATGTATATGTATATGTATATGTATATGTATATGTATATGTATATGTATATGTATATGTATATGTATATATATATATACATACATTGTATATGTATATATACATACAATGTATATGTACACAGTATATATATAATGTATAATATATGTATATATATATATATGTCATGTGTGTGTATATATATATAAACGTAGTACAGAAGAAATTGACATTCCCTGATTTGGTTCAACTAAGGTAGGGGGCGTTTGGATCTTTGGGCAGCTGGTGCTTTTCAGCCGCTTGGCTTTGGACCCAGGAAACCATCCGGATGTGTCCCACTAAAGGGGGGCCATGCCCAGGCCCAGAATTTTCCTTCAGCTTTTGCTGCAAATTTATCACTTCATCCTGGTGATGTACTTCGAATGAATTGGCTAAGCGGCTAAGCACTCACTAAGCTTCGTTGCATCCCCAATTTCGTTCTGTTTTTTCTCATCAAACATCCTGCTTGCACAGAGGTATGCTGGGAAGCAAGACAGAAATTTGGCTGCATGGGTTCTTCGAAATCTTGTAGGCTTTTCACATCATTCAATAGCTGTTATGGATGTTCATCCATCAATAGAGTATGTTTTGGTTGGGTCCTAGTTGTTCTCCCGGAGTGGGACATGGTCTAAGGATGTGACGGTCTTCCAACAGGTCTTCGCTGTGCTACCCATCATGCTAGTGGGACAATGCTGCCGCCTGCTGGGAGTGTTGGTCGCCACGTATAGCACCATCAACTTCCGCGTGTGCGATGATGGTGGCAGCAAGTTAGATTGCAAGTGCAAGAGACTTGGCTGAAAATGTCGAAATGATGACATCGAAGCCCGTTTTTCAGCTTGGAGTTGTTTTTTTTTGTGGGAAAAGAGCTGAGTGTGAAGGTACGATTTCGCACCAGTAGCGTCCGACAAAGGCAATGGAACATCTACATATTTCTCGTTGCCGTGAATCCCGAGGGCCAACAACCAACAGACCTGGCGCTCCGATGCGCTCTTCTGCTTTCTCTCCACCCTTCCGAGGCGTTTGAAAAACGTTTTCTGTGTTGCCGAAAATGCTATATTAGTATATGTCGTACAGATACTATATATATATATTATACATGTATATACATGTATTTATGTGACATGTATTCGTAAGGTGTATATATATATGATATATATATACATACATACATACATACAGACATACATACATACATACATACATACATACATACATACATACATACATACATACATACATACATACATACATACATACATACATACATACATACATACATACATACATACATACATACATACATACATACATACATACATACATACATACATACATACATACATACATACATACATACATACATACATACATACATACATACATACATACGATATGACATGATATGTATCTATCTATATAAATAATATATATCGCATGTATATGTCATGTATATGTTATCATCTGTCTATCATTGTTTTCTCGTGGCAGGGCGACCATCCAGGGTGCTCTGGGACCCATTCCCGTGCGGGATCGCTTCTTCCACTCGGCGCCTCGGCAGCGGAAGCCAGGATATTTATGGATCATATATGGGGTATATATATGGTATATGATTAATATGATTAATATGATTAATATGATATATGATGATATTCCCATAAATAAATTTAGGTAAATCCTTGTAAAGATGATATATGATATATGATATATGATAATATATGGTGATATATGATGATATATGATATTCCATCCTTTTTAAAGGTAAACCATTGCACATCATCTATACGATTGATCATTTCGATGGCCCTTTTTTGGGGGTTGAATCCCCAGAAACATCCCAAAGCGGAATGGTCAGTGGTTGATGTCCCATGAATCACTGGGGGATATTACAGATATATATAGACTGTGTATAGGTTTATACAATTATATGCAATTAGGGATATTACACACACATACATATATATATATATATATATATATACACTGTATACATATGTATATATATATATGACTGGAGCACCATATAGTGATTCACCACATCGATTCCGATGCGCATCGGTTCCGAATCGCCAAGACAGGATCAGTTCCGCCTCGAGCGAACGCAATTCATTGCGGCAGCAGCGAGGAACTCCGACAGCAGGGGGAAGTGGTGGTGGATTCAGCTGGGTCCAGCACTTTTGATCTGGAATTTTTAAGTGAACTAACATAACTATGGAAAATCATCATTTTTAATGGGAAAATCCACTATAACTGGCCATTTTCAATAGCTATGTTAAATTACCAGGGGGTATATGTATGTATATGCTGTATTTTTCCAAAAATCTGGAGGTTTCTCAATTTTTTCTGCCAATTTTCTGGTATTTAGATGGACCTTGCTGGCTGTGTTTTTTCAGGCTCTATGTCGTGGTCATGGCCGTGGTTGGTTCCATTCTGTTGGATCGCTATGGAGTGAGGTGGCCGTGGCTCCGGTTTGTGTGGCGGTGCGGTTGGTCATGAATTTACACTCTGGTAATTTAACGTAGCTATTGGAAATGGCCATTTGTAGTGAGTTTACCCATTAAAAATGGTGATTTTCCATAGCTATGTTAGTTTACCAGAGGGTACTGAGTTTACACTGAGTTTACTGGGTGTAGCTTTTGAAGACGATCAGAAAATGTTCTTTTTTTGGTTTTTGTGAATTTCTGTGAATTGCTTTTGATTGGCGAGCAGGCTTTGAAATAGAAGAGTGATCCGTTTTTGCAATGGCCACTCAGTGCATCACCAAAACGGGGTTTCCTATGACCATATATGCTCAATTGTTGATGATTTACCTTGGTGATTTCCATAGTCATGTTCAATTTCCAGAGGGTAGCTCAAATATTCCTCTAATCTTTGACATAACATAACTATGTTGACTTCCAACCATTTGCGTGTTCTTCATGTCCCCCTAAAATGTGACGCCATGGATCCACAGAGAGTTTTGACATAGCGAGCGGCTCCTTGTTTGGTTCCCAGCTCGCGGAAGTTTGGTCGCCAACATTGGGAGACCTGTGGATCCATTGCTGTTTCTTTTGCTGTGGGATGATGTCAAATATGTACAGGATGTCTTGTTAGCTGTTTATATCATCCAATTTTTATTAGCTGAGTAGCTTTATGATTATCATAATTGTAATACAGGATGATCCTAGATTGTCCTAGATTAAGCAAACATACTTACGGTAGAGTAATAAGAATAAGAGTAAACATAGTAACAATGAACGTAATAATTTCAACAATAGTAACATGACAATAAATGACCAGTTCCTGGTTAGTAATGATTCTCTAAAAATAGTGTATTAAATCCTGATATTCCATCATACGATCATTGCACCAGTCTTAGATATACTCTCGAGTTAGCATTCAGTTTACATAGTCATATCATGTTTTTCCATCATTTTTAGCTGTGATCACATCCAAGACACGTTCATATCCCCTAAACCCGAAACCCTAAACAACAATTCTTCTTTTCCGACATTTCTTTGAATGGATTGGTTTAAGGGAAAATTCACAGGAAAGCCCCATATTTGATGGTAAAAACCATGGTTTCCGGTTAAGATTTTCCCATCAACCAATCCATTGATTCTTGCGACCTGCTCGTTGTTTTCCCCTTGGTTTGACCCTTGGTTTCCCCCGGTGAAACACGGTGAGATCCCCAGGGCCTTGCAGAGCATCAGTTCTGTGGTGGACTCGGGGGGATGTCAGAAGTCCAAGGCCGAGGAGGCCCACGGTGATAGGAGGATGGGTCCCATCCTATGGGATATGGGAATTTAACAGTTCGCTATTGAAAATGGTCCATTTATAGTGGATTTTCCCATTGAAAATGGTGGATCTTTCCATAGTTATGTGGCTGTTTACCAGAGGGTATCAATGGGAGAATTTCATGGAACATATTCTATATTCATTGGGGCCTGTTGGGGATATTTTTAATATCCCAACAGAAAATGTTTTTTTGTCATATTGGTTATCCCCCAAATTGGGATACCCTCTATATTAATTGGGGCCTGTTGGGGATATTGAATATCAGAAATATGGTATTGTTATATTCAATGGGAGATCTTCAGGATCCAACAGATGGAGGTACGTTAGTACAGTACCATATTTCTGGCCATATGAATTCTGGGGATATCCCCTGAAATTTAGGCCTGAAAAATAGGCCAAAAATATATGGAATCGGTACCTCCAATTTACAGTAGGTTCCTGAAATGACCACTGATCCTATGGGGGAGATTTTTTGGATGAGAATTTCAGAAGGGATATTCTATATTAATTGGGGCTATATGGGGATATTGAATATCCCCAAAAAAGATGGTTATGTCATATTAGTTATCCCCCACATTGGGATACCCTCTGGTTATGTTGAACGTAGCTATTGAAAATGGCCATAGAAATAGTGAGTTTTCCCATTGAAAATGGTGGATCTTTCCCTAGTTATGTGGCTGTTTACCAGGCCGGGTATTCAATATTGGGTTCATTGGTTCATGTAATTTTGAGACTGAGAGGACCAGCCATAGGATGCTGGGGAAACAACAAAAAGCACAGACCTTGGTGAATAGGTCCCAGATGTTTGTGCCTGGGTCAATCCCACCTTTTTTGCTCATGATATCATCATTTTTTGCTGGTTAAACATGCTAAACATGCTGAATTGGTCCCTCACTTTTCGCCACCGGCCAGACTTTGAACTGGAGACGCTTGCAGGGGATCTCGGGGATTGGACCAAGCATTGAGGGTAACCCATCACATCCATGTCAGACAACCAGCTGCTTTCGATCCATTTGGACCATGGTGAAATCCGGAGTTGAACGTAGATCCATAGGTCAAGGGCAGGGGATCACTTTGCAAAATTCTGAGGTCCATGGCCCGACCGCCTCTTGCAAAAAAATGACGTGTCGCGGGGCCGGGTGGTTTATAAACGACAGGGATCCACTTTTGACACAGATCCAGCTGACTGATTTGATGTGTTTTCTCATTTTTTTCCGCATGGTTGATTGATGTCTTGACCTGACCCTGACTCAGATGGTGGTGGATTTTCTCAGGTCCCTGGCTTTTCAGAGTGAGCCCAAAGGTTGGAAGGCCGTATCCGCTTCAGATCGCCCCTTTGGCCCTGTTTTTGGGGCATTTTTATCACCAGAACTTAGCTGCTCTCCATGAAAATCAGGATGGGAGATGTCAAAGAGATGGGAGTTGAGTTAAAATTCCTATGAAGTTCTCAGTTCTTACTGATGAACCATTTTCATGTTCATTCCTTGGTGTAACTTTGCACGCTTTGGTTGCATAGTTATTCTCTGTTGACAATTGCCCTGTCTGGGATGATGATTCTGAATCAGCTTGTTCATCATTTTCCCCTCTGAAAAAAACGACCGTTTCATGGTAACCACCAGTAACAGACCCATATCATAGTGTTGATTACCCTCTGGTAAACATACAACAAAACTATGGAAAGATCCACCATGCTATGAAAATGGGTAAATCAACTATTTCTATGGGTCATTTTCCAGTTCGCAAACTGTTAGTTTACCAGGCCGGGCGTATCCCAAGAAATATCCTCTCACATCCCCATGCTTGGACATGACTCTGGTCATAAAATGCTTGGTTGCTTTCTCCATGGCGAGTCAATTTTTCTCTTTTTATCCTAATATATAGTAATATATATTCCCATGGTATAGTTGATTAATACCTCATAGTATTTAGTAATATGATTTATCTAGATTCTAGAAGCCTGTGGGCAGAGGTTTCTAGTATGTACCAGGGGATCTGTGGCAAGCTTAGTTGGTGCAAATGGCGACGGCATGACGACGACATGACGACGACATGCCCATGGCATGGTGACAGCATCGCGACGGCATTGCGACGACATGGCGACGACACGGCGACCACATGGCGACGGCTTGGCGACGGCATTGCGACGACATGGCGACGACACGGCGACCACATGGCGACGACATGGCGACGACATGGCGACGACATGGCGACGACATGGCGACGACATGGCGACGACATGGCGACGACATGGCGACGTGGCCAGGACGACAACGACGACGGTGAGAACGACGATGGCGGCGATGACGAGGACGACGGCGACGATCACGAGACAGAGTTATATAGGGTATGGTGTAGACATAGATATACATATGGCTATGGTTTGATGATGCCGAAGCACGTTTGTCACAACCAAATCAGTTTTTCGTATGTTCTTTCCCAGATGGGCGCCATGCTTTCTGAATCGGGCAAGGCTAAATGGGTGTGTTTCGTGTGCTGGCAGCATTCAACTTGAATTGTGTTCGATCAATGGGTTTGAGACAACAGCAGTTTTTTTTTGACAGCCCATGAGCTCTCATGTTGCTAAAGTCACAACTTGGACAAATTTAGTGAATCTCAATTCGGGGTTCTTTGATGTTTCTGTGCATAAGTATATTCCCAGGCAGGAGGGATGAATTCGCCGGACAATGCAGGGAACAAATGGCTTATTGTTTTTTGATCCCCCGCCCTGTCCGGAGATGAACCCCTTTTGTCTGGAGCTAGGGGTGCGGAAAAAGTGTTTCCCTTTTATGTGGTTTTTGAAACCCCTTCCTATATGCCTGGCCTCTGTAGGACGCCGCTCCGTGGGGTTCCTCCCCAGTCCCACTGTACGTCTGGATTTTCGGTTCCAATTGGTATCTAGAAGGGAATCTAGGCTACACTTATATTCAACTCTTTGGAACTTGTTTCGATTCAAAGGCGTTTAGGAAGAAAAGTTGATTGGCTTTCCTTCCTTCAATATGATCGCCGATTGTATCAAATTTTTCGAATACGCTGAATATTGATTTGGTAATTCCTGCACATTGCATCCATATGGAATTTCACAGTGTCTGTGTGTGTGTGTGCATTGGGGTTAGAGAGAACGCGTGGGACATGTGCAAGCATTGGATATGACGCATTATCAGTATGTGAGTCCATGAATTTTACTCCGCACAGAGTGAGTGGGCTAGATTCCTTTTCTGAATGTGGTACAACATTACATAACCCACGCGCTGTTGACAAAGTAGGTGCCATGTGCTAAAAAACATTCCTCGTAGTTTTGGGTGAACATTGTGACTACATGTTTTATTGTTTTTAAACAAGACTTCCTAGAAACCCTTCCAGATTCAACCTGCGACCATGCATCTAGTGTGCCAAGTTGTAGTACTTGACATTGATATCATTGATTTTTTAGCCGGCACAAAATTCAAACAAATTGAACACAAGGAGAACGCAAAAATGATGGGGTCCTTGCAAGTTATGGCATTCAAGTTCATCAACCTTTGGTGTGAAAGGCTTGACCGTGTATTTGAGCATGTCTGGCTTGAGAGTTCTTGACGTAGCACCTCTGCCCAAGCTTCACCTATGAAATATCACCTTGTCATGGGTCAGCATGCGGTGCCTATACAAAAAATACGGTTATTACCGGAGTAGATTTTCATAATTAGAGCTGGGCTTGGGGAAGAATATCTGAGTAGAACAGCGCAATACTCATTTTGAAGCAAAATCCCAACCATATTCAATAGCGCGCCCGCGTGGTGACCTTAGTCTTGGTACTTTCTCTTGGGAAAAATAACATGTATATAAACCTAATTAAACCTACCACTTTGTTGATCGGTGTTCCCAACCGGTCACCCGTTTTGCACATTTTGCTGACAAGAAACTTGCTTTAGGGATCTTTAGGGCACATGAAGATGGTGACTGAGCTTATTTGCCAGTGATTCACAGGCTGGCAATGATTCCTTGCAGTTGGCCCGAAAAGGTTAACAGCCCGGAACTATAATAGAAGCCTATCTTGCGTGTCTTCCTTTCTCATTGCAGACATCCTGTTTAAAAAATTAGCTGTTGTTTACCATACAGGGTGCCAAAATGTGCCAAACATCGATTCATGTAGACGATTCACATCAGCGGTGTTCAAGGCCCATCTGGTTGCAATATGCTGGTTGGTTGATAGGGGCGCCCTGATAGTCCCCAATACACTGGCTGGTAAAGCCGCCCGCAATCTTCAAACAACAGAGGGTTTTGAACATCGCTGATTTGACATTGATTGCAGCATCTAGATTGATGCGCACGTTTCAAACATGGCTAGGATGCACGCTGGACTCATGGTATTTCACAACGTGCGTGTTTGCAAAGGGGAGGTGAAGATAAAGGAGATACAGGACCTGTGATTGACACGTGCAAAAACTGGAATTGATATACATGTGGATCATGTTGTCAAGTCCATGCATTTTATGTACAAAATGGTGATCGAAAAAAACAAATATCATGTAGGATTAGAGCGGGGCAGACAGATTCAGGTTGCTGTAGCTGCTCGTTGTCAATACGCAAGCCTACGTACTATGTCTTCACAAATTCGATGAAGACAAGGTGTCAATGGGCAAGAATCTGTTCCAAACTAAATGCGTTTAGAAGGGATCCAACGTGTCACAATCATCATTCAGCTGGCGCATAGATCCAGCAGACCCAAAGGCAGTTTAACAGTAAGCACAAAGAAGTTTTTGTACACCTTTGAATTCAATTTCACCAACCTTTGGCGTTAAAGGCTGCTCCGTGTACTCAAGCATATCTGACTTGAGAGTATCTGACTTGCAGGCACTGTACGTTGGCATGCTTTAGTAAAAAGAAACGTCGCTTGCATTTCAATGATGCAGCACCATATGCAAAGTGTGCAAAAACCAGTGGTAAAGTGCAAAGCATGCAAGCCAAAAGCTGAACACAAAATAATCATCGAAGATACCCAGAACAATCAAATAGTCATAGCATCACAGCAAGAAACATTGCAAAACACACGCGAACAGATAGAGTCACACTGTCTAATGTTTGGGCCACGCCAGGACTAGAGGAGGCAACGCTGAACAATACGCAAGTGTCATCTGAAAACACGCAGGCGCACCCAAAGTTTGGGAATGGACATGACGGTGAATTTGCTGGGCTTTCTGGTTCGGGGAAAGAAGGTCCGGCTTTCCAAATTTGCAATGTAAATATTTTTCTGCGGGGTAAAGTTTTCAAGACCGCAACTCTTCTGCTTTGTCTATGAGGGCACGCCATCATCGTCTTCCTAACTAAGTTGTCGCGACTTTGTCAACACAGCGTCACCGCATTGTCGCCACATTGCCACCACATCGCCATCACATCGCCGCCACATTGCCACCACATCACCATTACATCGCCGACACATCGCCGCCACATCGCCGCCACATCGCCGCCACATCGCCGCCACATCGCCGCCGCCACATCGCCGCCATGCCGCCACATCGCCGCCACACGCCACCACATCGCCGCCGCATTGCGCCACATCGCCGCCACATTGCCGCCACATTGCCGCCACATTGCCGCCACATTGCCGCCGCCTCGCCCGCCACAGCTGCCACAGGACCTTATTTCTGCCAATAAGGTCCTGTTTGGCCAAAACAAGACCTTATTGGCAGAAATAAGGTCCTGTGGCAGCTGTGGCGGCGAGGTGGCGGCAATGTGGCGGCAATGTGGCGGCGATGTGGCGGCAATGTGGCGGCAATGCGGTGGCGATGTGGCGGCGATGTGACGGCGATGTGGCGGCAATGTGGCGGCACATTGCCGCCAAGTTGCCGCCACATTGCCGCCACATTGCCGCCACGTTGCCGCCACATTGCCGCCACCTCGCCGCCACAGCTGCCACGGGACCTTATTTCTGCCAATAAGGTCTTGTTCTGGCCAAACAGGACCTTATTGGCAGAAATAAGGTCCTGTGGCAGCTGTGGCGGCGATGTGGCGGCAATGTGGCGGCAATGCGGCGGCGAGGTGGCGGCGATGTGGCGGCAATGTGGCGGCGATGTGGCGGCGATGTGGGGGCGATGTGGCGGCGATGTGGCGGCGATGTGGCGGCGATGTGGTGGCAATGTGGTGGCAATGTGACGACCACACGACGACGACATTTTTTACAATTTTGACAATGACATGACGATGGAAATATCCTTTAATTTGAAATCTCTTCCTGGTCCTATCATCATGTCGCAGAAACCAATAAAGTAACACGGCGACACGAAATCCATGGATCATCGCATTTGCAAGCAAAACGCAACCCCTGCTCACAGAGTGTCACCTTCCACCAAAGACCCAAAATCGTGCCGACGCACAGGCAAATAAAAACATGTTTTTTTGATGATGACACCGCACTGCTTGCCGTGTTGTTGCAAGGTCGTCGTCATGCAGCTGCCCTATATGATTGATGTGATTTGAAATGACCGCTATGGCCTTCCAATGCAGTCATCGAATGGGCCTTGATTCGTTTCAAGAACCAAGCGCGTGTGACCTTGGGAAGATGCTAATCGGCACTGTGTATGTGCTCAAAAAAGGAAAAGAGATGTGACGTTAAATGGGTGTTTGTTTCCGGTGCTGGCAGCACTCAACTTGAATTGTGTTCGATCAATGGGCTTGAAACAACAGTGTTTGTTTTTGATAGCGCATGAACTCTCATGTTGCTAAAGTCACAACTTGGACAAACGTAGTGAATCTCAATTCGGGGTTCTTTGATGTTTCTGTGCATCAATATATTCCGTCTCCAGGCAGGGGGGATGAATTCGCCGGACCATGCAGGGAACAAATGGTTTATTCTCTTTTTGATCCCCCGCCCTGTCCGGAGATGAACCCCTCTTGTCTGGAGCTAGGGGTGCGGAAAAACATGTTTCCTGTTTATTTGGCTTTTGAAACCCCTTCCTATGCGTCCCCCCTTTGTAGGAAGCCGCTCCGCGGGGTTCTTCCCCAGTCCCGCTGTACGTTTGGATTTTCGGTTCCAATTTGCATCTAGAGGAGGAGAATCTACGCTACACTTATTCAAAGAAAGAAAAGTTGATTGCTTTTTTCCTTCACAATTATCGCCGGTTGTATCAAATATTTCAACCACTTGCTCGCTTGATTTTGGCAATTCCTGCGCGTTACGTCCATTGTATTTCGCGAGATCTGTGTGTGTGAACTGGCTTTAGATGAAGAAACACGTTGGACATGTGCTTGCACAGGGTATGACGCATTATCAGCATGTGAGCCCTTTTTTTCAGAAAACAGTGGGTGAACCAGATTCCTTTTGAATGCGGTACTACATTACATAACCTGCGCTGTTGACGATGTAGATGCTATATGCCCAAATTTTCAAGATGAAACTGGGACTACATGTTGTATATTTACATGACTTCCTAGAAACCTTTCCAGGTTCAACCTGCGACCATGCATCTAGCGTGCAAAGTTGTAGTGTTTGACATTGATATCATTGATACCTAGCAAGCGCAGAGTTCAAACAAATTGAACGCAAGGAGAATGCAAAAACGATGGGGTCCTTGCAAGCTTTTGCATTCAAGTTCATCAACCTCTGGTGTGAAAGGCTCGACCGTGTATTTGAGCATGTCTGGCTTGAGAGTTCTTGACGTAGCACCTCTGCCCAAGCTTCACCTATGAAATATCACCGTGTCATGGGTCAGCATGCGGTGCCTATACAAAAAATACGGTTATTACCGGAGTAGATTTTCATAATTAGAGCTGGGCTTGGGGAAGAATATCTGAGTAGAACAGCGCAATACTCATTTTGAAGCAAAATCCCAACCATATTCAATAGCGCGCCCGTTTGGTGACCTTGGCCGTGGTACTCTTCTTAGGCAAAATAACATGTATATAAACCTATCATTTTGTTGATTGGTGCTCCCAACCCGTCACCTGTTTTGCAAAATGTGCAGAAAGCGAAATCGTTTTGGGGCACATGAAGAACGTGACTAAGCTGATCTCTCTTTATTGCAAGTACTTGCCTGTGATTCACGGGCTGGCGATGATTCCTTACACCCGGCTCTTGGCCCAAATGAGTTAACAGGGTGCTAATGCACCGAAGCTGTATCGAAAACACTGTGCCAGACATCCTGGTAAGAATCTAACCATTGTTCACCACTCAGTGTGCCAAACATCGGTTCACGTAGACGATTCATATCAGCAGTGTTCAAGATCCATCTGATTGCAATATACTGGTTTGTTGAGCAAAATCAATCACCAACAGCGGGTTTTGAACATCGCTGATATGACATTGATAGCATCTAGATTGCTGCGCAGGTTTCAAAAATCGCCAGGGTGCCATGCATGCTGGGCCCATGGTATTTCACAATGTGCGTGTTTGCAAAGGGGAGGTGAAGATAAAGGAGATACAGGACCTGTGATTGACACGTGCAAAAACTGGAATTGATATACAATGATATACATGTGGATCATGTTGTCAAGTCCATGCATTTTATGTAAAAAATGGTGATCGAAAAAACATATCATGTAGGATTAGAGCGGGACAGAACAGATTCAGGTTGTTTGTTGTAGCTGCCCATTGTCAGTATGCAAGCCTAGGTACTATGTCCTCACAAATTCGATGAAGACAAGGTGTCAATGGGTAAGAACCTGTTCCAAACTAAATGCGTTTAGAAGGGATCTAACGTGTCACAAAAACCTATATAGCATATAACTTACTTGAAATTCAGCTGGCGCATAGCTCAAGCAAACCCAAGGGCAGTTTGGCGGTGAACGTGCAGAAGTTTGTGCACACCTTTCTTTGCATTCAATTTCGCCAACCTTTGGCGTTAAAGGCTGTTCCGTGCACTCAAGCATGTCTGACTTGAGAGTATCTGACTTGTATAGACATTGTCTGCTGACATGCTTTAGTAAAAACAATCGTTGTCTGCATGTCAGGGATGCAACAACATATGCAAAGTGTGCAAAACCCAGTTGTAAAGTGCAAAGCATGCAAGCCAAAAGCCCAATACAAAATAATCAACACTCCAGGACCCACAAAAGCAAACAACGTATGTATATATATATATATACTGTAGTCATCATGCAGAGAAAACACGTTAACAAACACACACACGCACACACACCCAAAGATAGCATCACACTCTGCCAAGATGGAGGGCTAACAGTGATTGAGCATGATGGGGCAGGCAGGTTGCCCCTTGTTGTTGTTATCGCCGTTGCTTCGCCGCCATTGGCGTCGTCGTCGTCGCCGCACCGCCGCCATGTTGTCATTACGTCATCGCCATGTCGTCGCAATGTCGTCGCCATGTCGTCGCCATGTCGTCGCAATGTCGTCGCCATGCTGTGGCCATGCCGTTGCCATGCCGTCGCCCTTTAATTGCCTTGCCGTTGGCGTGCCGATACATTGCTGTCGTCATTTGGTTGTCCTGCCGTCGACTCATTGCCAGTGCCTGTTGCCTTCGTTTTGAGGGGCCAGACTAACAGAGGCCTATAGGCCGTAGCTAAATTATATATGTATACACAGTACACATACACATACACCACCAAGTGATATTCGCTTGTCCCATCATGAAAGCTTGCCTTCCAAAGATTTCTGTTGCACAGCGTCAAAAAAATGCTGCGACAAGCCCAGTGTGCAGATCAATACGGGGACCGGTTTGGTATTCCTATCTTCTATCATCAGGGAATATCAGGGAAATGTATTCCAAATCCACAAGTAAATCTATCCATTTAAGGATAAATACATATAAATACTATCTATTATCATCCATCATCTACCAAACAAAGTTGTTGACTGGGGGGAAGCTTCTATTAACTCATCAACCGGTGGGATAAGGACATCGATATTTAAGACCGAGGAAAAATGATCCAGCCATTTGCGGGTCCATTCGCACGCACCAACGAGATCTTGCAATCTCCAAGTCCACTAGCCTTGGGGAATTGTACCAGAAAAACAATTTGGACAACAAAACATGGATATTCAGCACATGTCATTTCAACCTCTCGAACATACAGAAAATAAAAACCCACATCTGCCTGCCCCCAACTTGAAGTTCACCCATTCCCACTGAGGTTACACCTTAGTCTATGCCATGGTGGGCATGGATGTGGGCTTTGAGAATCCATTGTTCGCCAGCATCGAATTGAGCTACGAGGAGGCGGTGGTTGGAAATGGAAATGGTGAAGCACCTCCAATGGGGGCACTATCCCATAAAACCTATGGGAAAATGGGAAAACATAGGAAAACCCATAGGAAAATGGAGGTTTACCCTTTGGTAAACAGCCACATAACTATGGAAAAATCCACCATGTTAATAGCAAAATCAACTACACATGGGCGATGTTCAATAGCTATTTTGACATCACCAGAGGGTATCTCCAGTGATTATAGCCGTTTGATGATGATCAACTCCATGTAGTATCATTTCATAAGGGAAAATGATGATTAACCACTGAGTTTAGCCGTGAATCATAGGGAAAATATGGGAAAATGTTAATTCGCTGGCATGGGGTACACCATTTTCAGAAAAAAACTACATAGATATCATAGATTCAATCCCTACGAACATCTCCCAATTTCGGGACATCTCCGAATTTTTCTTGAAATATATGTTCTATATTTTGTTTGGAGCTATCCACCTGATTAAACATATAAACATATAATAACATATAAACATATAACAGCAAAATGGGATAACTATTCTTCAAACAACTATCCCCTAGAACTGTTCTAGGTTGATAACTTTTTTTTTATAAAAAATATGTGTCATTTCCAGGGCGTTCCCAGCCATCCACGGAATCAGCAGAATCCCCAGGTGGACAAGGATCCGCACGCCGAGCCGCCCCAAAAGATGCTGACGTTGTATGAGATGGACCTGGGTCTGAACCATGTCACCCGAAAGTTCGCTGATGCTGTGGATCATAGCGCCTGGGTTTGGATGTTTGGAGAATGATAAAATGTGTTAAAAACTATATTCAAATGTGGGTTTTCGATGATTTTATATGAGTTTATAACCTTCCAAATTTTGGAGAAGTTGATGTTTAACAATTTCCAAATTTGGGCTGATGGTTGACCACCTCATTTTACATTCGGATAGGGAGAATGATGACGAACATATAGCTGGTTGAGGCTGCATATTTCATAGCTTGGCACATTTGCAAGAGCTTCAGCACAAGTGTTCAGGAAAGATTCAACAGCATACCAGGAAACCTTCAAATAATAGTTAGTTTTTGAGGTTTCCTATAAGTCATGGGGGTACCTTAAATCATCAATTTTATTGTCGGATTGTCCATGAAATAAACCATCCATTTTTCGGGTACCCCCATAGAAAGGGATGGCCATGGCGACAGTTGAGCCATGGATGGCGATTTTTTTAAACAGGAACACTTAGATTTTGCTATAGATGAGGAATATAGGCTAAATATGAACTTTATATATATATAGTATAATTCATGATATGTATAATACATATAATACATTACAATATGACAATATGTACATAATCTCAGGGTATTTTCGTCTCATAGTCTCCGTTTCGCTGGCCATGGTAACGTCTCCGTCAGGTGCACATGCTCTCATTGCAGTGCCTGGTGGTGTGGACGGTCCCAGTGGGGTCTTGGTCGGACTCCAAGTGCTGCAATCAACGGGTCCGGACGGGTCCTGGCGGCGATCAACGGGTCCTGGATACGGGGTACCCCCATGACTTGGGAAACCTCCATATAGCTGGATATATCAGTCATTCATGGGATACTATATATATATATGACTTCAGGTGGAATATTTCACGATATTTGACGATCGTAGTGATATTCTGGAAAATATCTGGATAGCATCATTTCCTCACGTCGCTGACGGCCACTGGAACGATGGTTAGTTCGTATGGATCATATGGCATAACTCACGAAGAAGCCTTATTTCAGATCGAGTGAATTTATATAATGGGATTTATAGTGGTTTAATGGGATTTTATAGTGATTCAATGGGATATGAATGGAATATACCCTCTGGTAAACAGACATAGCTATTGAACATGGCCATAGACATAGTTGATTTACCCATTAATAGCATGGTGGATCTTTCCATAGTTATGTGGCTGTTTCATAAAACCATGACCATCATCATGGTTCCCATCACTAAACCACTCCCAAAAAAATATAAGCCCAGCAGAACTTTGCGACGCGAGGTTTGCTGCGAGAACTGCTTGGTCTACAAGAAGCAGGGCCATCCCGATGTCGTCTGTGCCATTCCAAGGCGGTTGGAGATGGCACAGGAGAAAGGACTCCTGAAGCTTGGCGCAGGGGAAGCGTCCCACGAAGAAAGTAAGTGGGTAAGCCTGGTGAATTCAGATACCATCTGGTTATGACTAACAGTTAGCCATGGAAAGATCCACCATTTTTAATAGGTAAATCATCTATTTCTATGGGCCATCTATACCATGGCTATGTTAAATAACCAGAGGGTAAGTAGGGTTCCTCCAGGTATAACTGGGGTGAACTAACCCACTTACTGGGATGAACCACCAAGTAGGGAGATGATATAGTTGGGCCATGAAAGAACCCGCCGATCTTTTTGTTTCCATTATGGTTGGTTCATAGTGATCTCTATTGTTGGTTACTAGTAATACCATTTACTGGTTTGTTCTTGATTATACCACTATAGTGGTTGGTTAATGGAACATCACTATTATTTTCATGATGGGTTTAATCATAATCCCTTAGAGTCACCAGCTAGTATTTCACCTCCCAAAAAATCACCAGCTGGAGATCTGAAAAATGGCGCCAAAAAAAATCCGTCAAGAACTCATTGGGATGATCTGAAGATATCTGATGAACTCGGGGTTGCGCTGAACTTTGGGAAGCCTCAAAGTTTATCCCATGAACATACCCATGAACATATCAAGTTGGTTATATATATATATATTAGATAGTGATACACATAATATATATATATATTATAAATCTTAAAGAACATGAATATCATGCTATAAAGTTGGTTCAGAATCATGTGACCAAGAGTATGAAAGTATTCAGTGGATATGACCATGGATATACTGGCTGGCTGGTGGTGACTGGAACATGAATTATATGACTTTCCATTCAGTTGGGAATTTCATGATCCCAACTGTCGAACTCATATTTTTCAGAAGGGGTAGGTATACCACCAACCAGAATATTACAGTAAGGAACATGAATATTACGCTATAAAGATTAAGTGTCCACAAAAAAAACAAAATGGAGATGCTTATGATCTAAGTTTATGAGAGGGAACATGGTGACTCTCCATGTTCACTGATAGATCTGATAGGGGAAAATTTCAGGGAACTGTAGTTATGGGACCATTAATTAACTAAGAGGGATAATGGCCATCACATGGTAAATATAGGAAATAATTCTTACGATAATGGCAATGAACTAAAAGAGAAAATGGATGAACATGGTGACTACCCATGATTTTTTTGGGTAGCCGATTCATTACTAGGGTATTACTATAAGAACTATGGTGACTCATGTCTTACTAATCAACTGAGATTTGCTTTTGATAATGTTGTTTTTTCATAAATTGAAAAATCAACCGGTATCAGTTGCTGGTCGGGGAGGGGGGTAACGACACATCTTGTATGTGAATATGATACTTATATGTTTTCTATTCATGATGATGCTACAATTGATAGATAATATGGAATCCTGCATACAATAGAGTGTAATGCAATCCACACGTATATATATATATATTTGAATAGATATATACACACAGACACATATTGCTATATTATATGATACGTTATGTTTATCAAGTAGATATACACATGGATGATTCAACAGTGGCAAGAATGACATGGCCGGGATTGGAGCTGTCGGATGGACATTCCTCTGGTAATTCAACAATCGTGTGCGAACATGAACATGATTAAATGGCCATAAATTTACCCTCTGGTTATTTAACATAGCCATGGAAAATGGCCCATTTATAGATGGTTTACCCATTAAAAATGGTGATTTTCTATAGCTACGTTAGTTTACCAGAGAGTAGTTTATTTACCTGGAAAAAAAAACAATGGTGATTTTCCAGTTCGCACACTGTTAGTTTGCCGGAGAGTCACCGAAAATAGGACTAGCTGGTTTATACCTCTAATGCTATATGACTGGCTATTAGAACAACGGCAATTTTTCTGGCTAGGAACTGTGCGACAGTAATAAGAAATCATGGGGAAAGGCTGTTGTGTTTGGACCTACAGATTCCTGGCGTCGAAGCATGCCATCAACTTCACTTCGGATGCTCTAAGACAGACAGGGACCCTTTTTAAAAAAATGGCACTGACTGGCACTTGCTGAGGATCGTGGCACATGCCACGCACAAGCTGAAGGATTTCTTCTTCTTCCTCATTCAAAGCCGGGCCGCCAAGTTTGGTGCTGGTTGATGGGTGGGTGTAGGGGAACTGGAATCTGCATGTGGTTTTTGTTTGGGGCACTTGATTGATTCCTACAATGTGGTGCCCCTCAGTGATGTTTGTTGGTTTAGATTCGCCCCAGTAACTATAGTCATTTACGTACCATAAACCATAGTTATTGGAGTTATAAACCAACTTAGCTAACTATGGGGCACCACCTTGTAGATGTACCATGATGTAGACATCAAATCAGCTGAGTGTTGCTATCGAGTCATGTGATGCGCCCGCTATGAGTTCTCAGAGGTGAGGAATCCACATGTTTCGGCTCCATCTTGCTGATTCAGTGCTGATGCATACGGGTTGGGCCTCTAGTCACAGCTCGTCAGATGAGCCACGGTGCAAAAATAACGATGGTAGTTTTTGTTCTGTGGATTCTGATGGATTCTGCAGTTTTTTTTTTGGGGAAGTCCATCACAATTACAATACGGTATTCTTCAACAACTCATTGAACGTTCCCATGGAACGTTCCCCCCCATTCTACCCCAATCTTGGCAGCTTGCCAGGTGAGTATGGCGACTTGTACAAAGTGACTCTGACCCACGATGAAGACTTAGTCTCAGAGGTCCAGGTCAAGTACTTCGACACCGTTCCTTTGTCCAACGCCCTTTGCGTGCCTTGGTGGTTGGTCAAACCAAAGGGATGTCACCGAGTTTGTTGGACCCTTCTGATCTTAGTGACTCAGAACAAAAAAGCCGCATTTGGATAGATTTGGACATTTTTTGGATACATATGATATAATGTATTATATATTATATATTATATATATGCCTGTTTTTTATCCCATGAATTCCCATGAAATGATATGACCTGTGATGGTTTTCCACTATCATAACTATCCTGTGACACCTCCATTGAATCCCCAAAAGGCGCCAGCTTTTTTGGGTGGTAAATCTGGATCCACAGTGACATTCCATAGCTTTGTTGCTGATACTGACCCGGCCTGGTAAACATACAAAAAACGAATGGTTTAATGGGATTTAATGGGATTTAATGGGATCTAATGGGATTTTATGGGATCTAATGGGATCTAATGGGATTTTATGGTGGTTTAATGGGATCTAATGGGATTTAATAGGATTTACCCGGCCTGGTAAACTGGTAAACGTTAACATAACGAACTGGAAAGATCCACCATGCTATGAAAAAAGGGAAATCAACTATTTCGACTGGGCCATGGCTTCAATAGCAAACTGTAACAGTTATTACCAGGCCGGGTATCCCACTAAAAATATCCCCATTTTTGCCCATTGACGGTTGAATCCCCATGGTATCAATTGCGCTATGCCGAGAAAATATGACCTTCGAAAGGGTACTAACGTAGCTCCATTTTAGGGTCCTGACATGTCCACTGATGTGACAAATTCACATTCAATCTTAGATTTGAGGCTTTTCCATGCTCCATATGCTCCATGGTGAATCTTCCATATTTAACAACATTTACCACAGAAATATCACCCATGTTAGGTTAATATACCAGCACCATGGTTCGTATTTCCATGTCCCACATGCTCCACGTATGTGATATTTATCAACATTCACCCCGAAAATCACCAATGTTTGATCATTTTTGTAGCTAATTATAGCAGCCATGCTTCGCATCCGGGTGTGCCACCATTTCCCACCCTGAGTCGTCCTTCCGAATCGTCCGGTGGGCAGGTCTTGAAGACGGGCTTCCTCTTCGCAGCGGCGGAGTTCGGCAATCACGCGCTGTACCAATTCCAGGGCATCGGAACGGATGAAGAGGATCCCATGTGCACCTCCTCCCATCCTCACGGAGCACAGGCGCAAGAGCGTGGCAGTTGAAGAATGTGTACACACATATATGACATATATATATGACATATTAATACATATTATATATATATATATATATATTGTACGTATATAAAGATCACTAAAGATACATTAATAATCATGAATATACATATATAAGATGGAACTTTGGAGAATTTACAAGTTGGGAAGATCCAAAGCCTAAGTTTCTGTTTAAAGTCAAATGTCAAGGACGGGGATGGAGAAGTCCCTTGCGGGAAGTCCCGTTTGGCTCGACATGGTGATCTCGATCCATATGGGCACACATATCTAAACCTGTATGTAGTTCAATGCTCTATAATATATTATATATATAGACATACAATATAGATCCACAATCCGATCCAATCTAAATCTAAAATCTAAAATCTATCGAGTTACCAGAACTTCCCCATGATTTTAAGCGGACCTTTGACCAGGCATTGGTGGCGTTCAAGCCCCGATCCCTGAAGAATTTGATGCTCTACGATGAGATGCCTTCGCTGTCGCCCATCATTGACATGAAGGTTCTGGATGCCACAGGCTGGGTTTCCCCCGGGGAGACCTAGGCTGGGATGGTGCTGGCCCTTGAGCGAAGTTGGTTTTATAGGTTTACTATGGTTTAATATGCTTTTATAGGGATGACCATGGGATAATTATGGGATGATACTGGGATATTGATGGATATACCCTCTGGTTATCTCAACAGTTTGCTATTGAAGCCATGGCCCAGTCGAAATAGTGGAATTACCCAGCTAGAACATGGTGATGATTTTCCATAGTTATGTGGCTGTTTACCAGAGGGTAACTCATCTAAGTTGGTTTCTAACTCCACTCACTGTCGGGTTTATGGTAGATGTACAGAACTAGTGAAAAGAAAGCCACTTGGAACTGGAGCCACAGGCCGTTTCTACAATTCCTCACACTATTTTCCTGAACCCTCTGCCCACCAGCCTTCATTCCCAACCCAAACATATGAGCTTTTGAGGAGCCAAGAAACATCCATGGCCAACTCCCCAAATCATGTTCCACGAATGGTGTAAATCCCAACGAGCTCCATCCCCTATGGTAAATCAGTTTTACCTCTGGCAAACCAATCATGGTGTAAACATTCATTTTTTCATTTTGCAACATTTTACCACATTCATTTTACTATTCTAGTCACTTTGACTTTGAGTAATTATCCCACCAAGTATTTATACATGGTTCTCTCCATTTCTTGGCGAAATCAGAACATCCCAAGCCACCCACCCCCCAACCGCAGCCCCCAAGCCATCCCTGCAGTTGATCACTAGAGCTATTTATCTTCTCATATATTCTCCCCATCCCCAACCCCCATCCTCAAACCCCCAACTCCCCAAAATCGATAGCTACTTATCACTCCAGATCTTCTTTCTCTATATTCTTGTTGGAAACATCAACCCCCCAACCCCATCCCTTCCCATCCAATCCCTTCCAAGATCACTAGACTCGTGAAAAACATATTCTCCCCCAACCCCTCAACCCCAAGTCCCCCAACCCCAAGTCCCCCCAGTCCCCCCCCCAGTCCCCCCAACTCCCCCAACTCCCCCAACCCCAAGTCCCCCAACTCCCCCTGAGGCGAGGGCAAGCCGCAGCTCTACACCATGTGTGGCCGCGGCCCCCGCGCCTCGCTCCGCGTCTTGCGCCACGGCCTGGCGGTCACCGAGATGGCCGTCAGTGAGCTGCCGGGGAAGCCCAACGCGGTGTGGACGGTGAAGGCCGGGGATCCACGTGCGATGGGGCGATGGGGGTGGGGATGGTGGGGATGTGGAGATTTTGAAGGAAAAATATGTGGAGTTTCTGGATTTGATGATGGTTTGATGATGTTTTTTTTTTTTTTTTATGGGGCGTGGGTTGGGGAGGAATGGAGTTTCAACATGTTTCAACATGATTGAACCGCAGCCATGCCGTTTTTGTTGGATTTTTAGCACGAAAGACTCTCGGAAAAAAAAACGCAGAAAACTGGGTTTCCATCTGGGAAACTTGCTCTAAGTGTCCGATCTGAAAAAACTATCCCAATGGAAGTGATGTATCAATCATACATCACTCTCACAACAATAGGACATAGGAAAGGGAAATTCCGATGCATCAATAATTTCACTCACTCTTGTTCTCGGTTAACATCCTATAATAGCCCATGTTTTTTAATATTCCCATGTTGATGAAGATTCCAGTATATTCCCCTCATACATATTCTGATACCCTCTGGTAATTTAACAGTTTGCTATGGAAAGATCCACCATGCTATCTAGCTGGCTAAATCCACTATTTCGACTGGGCCATGGCTTCCATGTCGCTTTTTGTAAACGTTTACCAGGCCTTTTCTAATCCATGAAAATCATGGGTTTTCATCGCTCATCACCCACTATATTTTCCTTAGAATCGCCCCTGATTCTATCCCAATGATCGGTTATATCCCCGTGAAACCACCATGAACTCCCCATTGTATCGTATCCAGGAATCCCTATGAAAGGACACCTTAAGGGCCCACGACTAAGGGATAGGAACACGGATTGTTGCAATGCGGTTTTTGTGGAGCAAGTGCCGGCTGAACATGCAGCAAACAAAATCGAAGGCAAACGAAACGGCCATACTTCAGCAGTCAGAACTTCCTTTCGATTCTTTTCGCTCAAGATTTGAATGTTTTCATAGGTGGCAGTGAATTTTTTGATCGGGCGGGGTGGGATCATGGAGTATGGCAATCACCAAAAGGCAAAGATATCGATCATCTGCAAGCCGAAGAAAGGCACATTCCCGGCGGGTGCAGTGGTTAACATGGAGGTCGCAACAGCATGACTTGATTCCGACAGACAGAGTTTGGCTGCTGTTTAGATTCACTCAGCTACTTTTGTCAAGAACTGGAGTGCTGGGCCGCCAGCTATGCAAGACCATTGGTCCACAGAGTGTTGGAAGTGGCCGCTCACGCGACATTTTCCCTTTAGCATTGCTTGACTCACGGGAGTGCAAGCCTCATGACTGGAGCTGTCAAAGCTGGAAAATTCTGCGCGAGTTTGTGAACGCAGCAATTGGGGCATTGAACTGGTGCTACGGTTGCCAGGTCAGCTGTCTTCAAAGTTCTCGGCGCACGGCTGCGCAGAGAGATGTCTTGCAAAGATTGGTCAGTCGCTGTGTTGACTTTTGCAACAGGCTACAAGCACCAGATGCCGGTAGCTGGGAAAGCTTGACACCTGACTGGGTGCCACTACCCCAGCGCCCAGAAGGACCAAAGTATGGTGGACTTTGTGCTGAAAAGGTTGACGTTCTGCCTCAGGCGGGCGTCTGCGATCCCATGCCATGTTTGCCTCCTGCCGTGCAACAGCTTGTCAACTGCGAGCAAAAGATGTTTGCAGACGCGCCAAAGGGCCTGGAAGTGTTCGAGGACGTAGCAGATGCAGAGCGGCTTGAGTATATTAAGCTGGTGGTGAGGCAGCTGCGTGCCAAGCAATTGGGTCTGACAACCAAACCTCGTGGTGGTGGCGCAGTAATCGCAGTGGGAAAGCCTGGAGGCAAGCGGCAAAGGGTCGTGTGGCATGGTCGCAGGGTGTCGGCTGCAGCAGTGCGACCACCCAAACCGCGGCACCTTGCTTCACCGACGGCATTGACCTTTCTAGAGTGCAAGCAGGGGCGACAGATTCGGTGCAGCAAACGTGATGCGAGTTGTTGGTTTGACCAGCTGGCGTTGCCAGCCGACTTGGGTCGCTGGATGGGCAGGCCTAGGGTCAGCCAGCGGGAATTGTGTTCCATCGGCGGCATGACGGTCGAGGAGGTGCAGGCTTGTTTGTTGCCAGGGGACTTGTTGGATGCTTCAGGCCTGTGTCCGGTGAGCCTCACATGGCCCATGGGATTTGCATGGAGCTCATACATTGCCCAGGAGTTTTTGTTGGATGTTTGCAGAGCAGCTGACTTAGATGAGTCAAGTATCCTTTCTTGCGAAACGGCTACTCCAATGTCTTTTGAGTTGGCTTTTGCAGCAGCAACAGACGACGTCATGATCTTCAGTGATGCTGGCGAAGGAGGCACGCTGCAAGCAGCCCGCAATTTGGACGCAGAGATGCAAAAACGCGGAATCATCCGTAACACAGCCAAGGATGTGAATGATGAGCTTGTTGCCACTTGCGTTGGTGTTGCGTTAGAACAGGGCACGCACCTGGGCGTCCCTTCAGCGCGCTGCTTGGCCATGATGGTCAGCGTCGTGCATCTTTTGTCATGCGCTGAAGCATCGCCAAAACAGGTTCAACAGCAGCTTGGTGTGCAACAATGGTTTGACTTGTTGCGACGGTGCAAACTATCTGTGTACAACAAAGTGTATGACTTCATTCGGGACCCCCATGACACGCGTCCACGACGCCTTCCCCATGAGGCTTTGTTTGAGCTTGGCATAGGCATGTTGCTTGGAATTTTTTGGCAAGTTGATCTCAGGAAGCCATTCTTGCCATTGTTGTCTGCCACAGATGCAAGCACCGAGTTTGGATTTGGTGGCAGCATTGCTCGTTTGCCGGCAGACATGATCCGCCGACTGGCTCGCATCTCCGAGAAGCAGGGTGACTATGTGGTTCTGGATGGTGGCACTAGCACAAAACCAGCAAAGCGATTGGGGCAAGCCCACCAACTTGGTCTGAGCTTAGATGATTTTGTGGACATTTTCAGTGTGAAGAGCCGACATTCAGCCCACATCAATGTGCTGGAGGGTGAAGCTTTCCTTTGGTGGCTACGCTGGATTTTGCGGTGCCGGAGACGCCATTGCTCTCAAGTAGTGGTGCTTGTTGACAGCTCGGTCTGGCTGGGCGCAGCGGCGAAAGGTAGATCTTCGACGCGGCTCAACAGGCTTCTGCGAAAAGCTGCAGCTTTAGAGATGTCTGGGGATTTACAAGTTTATCTGATCCTTGTGCCTTCTGCTGAGAATGCTTCGGACAAGCCTTCCAGAGGCATCCGGTGTTCCGCAAAATTTGCATCAAAGCTTCAAAGCAACAGATACGTTGTCCCATGCAACTCGCCCAAATAGGTCCAGCTAGTATTGGTTTGCATTGTTCTGCCTTGTTTCCGGACACCTGGCATGATGTGCATTGATGTACGCTGATATTGGGTGGCATAAGCGAATTTGTTTTGATTCTGTACAGTTTGCCAGCAGCGCACTTCCATCCACATTTTCCGGGCCTAAAAGCTGATGATGTGGTAGTGGGTACCTTGACGCTTGTTACATACGGTGCACGTCAAGATGTGCAGTCTTGAGGGTTCAGCATGGTTGACTTCGGGGCCTGACGGATTCCAGGCCATTGGTTGCTGTGTGGCAAGCCTTCTGGTGATTGCATTTCTGAATCCTCTGCTGGATCAGAAAGCCATAAATTCGCGGCTGTTGCCGCAGCGGCTGCGGGGCACCGCCAGTGTGTTGAGGTGGGTGAGGATTGCTGCTCTGTTTGTGAGGCAGCTCACTTCTAGACCAGTCAAGCTGCACAGAAGTGCAAATCTTCTCTAACCTTTGCGATGCTGGCGGTGCGGTTTTTGAGCAGAAAAGATGCAGCTTGAGTTTTTGCCCAGGGTGATGAATGCATTCGTCTTTCTAATTCTGAAAGTGGCAGTACCGAAGGTGTTTTGACACTCCCTGATCGTGGCCGAAGAAGCCAAGCGCAACAATAGGAACACGGATTGTTGCAATGCGGTTTTTGTGGAGCAAGTGCCGGCTGAACATGCAGCAAACAAAATCGAAGGCAAACGAAACGGCCATACTTCAGCAGTCAGAACTTCCTTTCGATTCTTTTCGCTCAAGATTTGAATGTTTTCATAGGTGGCAGTGAATTTTTTGATCGGGCCCACCCCGTGGCCTGCGTCTTCACTTCCCGCCCTGTGGGGTGAGGATTGCTGCTCTGTTTGTGAGGCAGCTCACTTCTAGACCAGTCAAGCTGCACAGAAGTGCAAATCTTCTCTAACCTTTGCGATGCTGGCGGTGCGGTTTTTGAGCAGAAAAGATGCAGCTTGAGTTTTTGCCCAGGGTGATGAATGCATTCGTCTTTCTAATTCTGAAAGTGGCAGTACCGAAGGTGTTTTGACACTCCCTGATCGTGGCCGAAGAAGCCAAGCGCAACAATATATTGTTCATTATATTCACTATATCAATTACAGACATTAAAAATCCTGAAATTCGATGATCCATTACCCATTTTATAGGGATGATATCAATACTCTCCCGAAATCTAACTTATTACGAAAAAAAAACGGCAGTCCATGTTAGTTGAATTTATGTTGTTTTTTACAAAGCCGGAATTGGTCCATGTTAGTTGTTATTTTGAAGCTGTGATTTTTGATGATTTTTGATGATTTTTGTCGCCATGAGAGGCTCATGCAGGAAGGTCCACGTTAGCTGAAATGGAGGGTTCAGCGCGTGGGTCATCCTGTTATCAAAAGTTTGGCAACAGGACGACTAACATAGATCCTGCCCAGGGTTCCCAAAACCTCCAATAGTATATCATAATCATTAGTTCAGCAAGTAGCCAGATTGGTAACATCGACCAGGAGTTTTTTCCTTATTCAATCTATTATATAAAATTGTTGATTTTGAAGTTTTTTTTGGGTCCAGTAAGGGTTCACCCCACAAAGAGTCACAAAGACATCCAAAAACAGTTGTGCCAGTCATGATTTTCAATCCAAAACCAATGTTTTGGCAACAGGACGACTAACATAGATCCCGCCCAGGGTTCCCAAAACCTCCAATAGTATATCATAACCGTTAGTTCAGCAAGTAGCCAGATTGGCAACATCGACCAGGAGTTTTTCCTTATTCAATCTATCATATAAAATTCTTGATTTTGAAGCTTTTTTGGGTCCAGTAAGGGTTCACCCCAAAAAGAGTCACAAAGACATCCAAAAAACAGTTGTGCCAGTCATGATTTCCAATCCAAAACCGAAGTTTTGGCAACAGGACGGCTAACATAGATCCTGCCCAGGGTTCCCAAAACCTCCAATAGTATATCATAACCGTTAGTTCAGCAAGTAGCCAGATTGGCAACATCGACCAGGAGTTTTTTCCTTATTCAATCTATCATTTAAAATTGCTGATTTTGAAGCTTTTTTTTGGGTCCAGTAAGGGTTCACCCCACAAAGAGTCACAAAGACATCCAAAAACAGTTGTGCCAGTCATGATTTTCAATCCAAAACCAATGTTTTGGCAACAGGACGACTAACATAGATCCTGCCCAGGGTTCCCAAAACCTCCAATAGTATTTCATAACCGTTAGTTCAGCAAGTAGCCAGATTGGCAACATCGACCAGGAGTTTTTCCTTATTCAATCTATCATATAAAATTCTTGATTTTGAAGCTTTTTTGGGTCCAGTAAGGGTTCACCCCAAAAAGAGTCACAAAGACATCCAAAAAACAGTTGTGCCAGTCATGATTTCCAATCCAAAACCGAAGTTTTGGCAACAGGACGGCTAACATAGATCCTGCCCAGGGTTCCCAAAACCTCCAATAGTATATCATAACCGTTAGTTCAGCAAGTAGCCAGATTGGCAACATCGACCAGGAGTTTTTTCCTTATTCAATCTATTATGTAAAATTGCTGATTTTGAAGCTTTTTTGGGTCCAGTAAAGGTTCACCCCAAAAAGAGTCACAAAGACATCCAAAAACAGTTGTGCCAGTCATGATTTCCAATCCAAAACCAAAGTTTTGGCAACAGGACGACTAACATAGATCCTGCCCAGGGTTCCCAAAACCTCCAATAGTATATCATAATCATTAGTTCAGCAAGTAGCCAGATTGGAAACATCGACCAGGAGTTTTTTCTTTATTCAATCTATTATGTAAAATTCTTGATTTTGAAGCTTTTTTGGGTCCAGTAAGGGTTCACCCCACAAAGAGTCACAAAGACATCCAAAAACAGTTGTGCCAGTCATGATTTCCAATCCAAAACCAAAGTTTTGGCAACAGGACGGCTAACATAGATCCTGCCCAGGGTTCCCAAAACTTCCAATTTTCCAGTCCCTCCAATGCGCACGCGCGTTGGCGGAAAATGACAGTAGCAACCTTTGAGATTTCATCCGCTGTCATTTTCCGCCAAGGCGCGCGCGCGCATTGGAGGGACGGGAAAAATGGAAGTTTTCGGAACCCTGGGCAGGATCTATGTTAGTCGTCCTGTTGCCAAAACTTTGGTTTTGGATTGGAAATCATGACTGGCACAACTGTTTTTGGATGTCTTTGTGACTCTTTGTGGGGTGAACCCTTACTGGACCCAAAAAAGCTTCAAAATCAGCAATTTTAAATGATAGATTGAATAAGGAAAAAGCTCCTGGTCGATGTTGCCAATCTGGCTACTTGCTGAACTAACGGTTATGATATACTATTGGAGGTTTTGGGAACCCTGGGCAGGATCTATGTTAGCCGTCCTGTTGCCAAAACTTCGGTTTTGGATTGGAAATCATGACTGGCACAACTGTTTTTTGGGTGTCTTTGTGACTCTTTTTGGGGTGAACCCTTACTGGACCCAAAAAAGCTTCAAAATCAAGAATTTTATATGATAGATTGAATAAGGAAAAACTCCTGGTCGATGTTGCCAATCTGGCTACTTGCTGAACTAACGGTTATGATATACTATTGGAGGTTTTGGGAACCCTGGGCAGGATCTATGTTAGCCGTCCTGTTGCCAAAACTTCGGTTTTGGATTGGAAATCATGACTGGCACAACTGTTTTTGGATGTCTTTGTGACTCTTTGTGGGGTGAATCTTTACTGGACCCAAAAAAGCTTCAAAATCCACAATTTTACATAATAGATTGAATAAGGAAAAAACTCTTGGTCGATGTTTCCAATCTGGCTACTTGCTGAACTAATGATTATGATATACTATTGGAGGTTTTGGGAATCCTGGGCAGGATCTATGTTAGTCGTCCTGTTGCTAAAACTTTGGTTTTGGATTGGAAATCATGACTGGTACAACTGTTTTTGGATGTCTTTGTGACTCTTTGTGGGGTGAACCCTTACTGGACCCAAAAAAGCTTCAAAATCAGCAATTTTACATAATAGGTTGAATAAAGAAAAAACTCCTGGTCGATGTTTCCAATCTGGCTACTTGCTGAACTAATGATTATGATATACTATTGGAGGTTTTGGGAACCCTGGGCAGGATCTATGTTAGTCGTCCTGTTGCTAAAACTTTGGTTTTGGATTGGAAATCATGACTGGCACAACTGTTTTTGGATGTCTTTGTGACTCTTTGTGGGGTGAACCCTTACTGGACCCAAAAAAGCTTCAAAATCAAGAATTTTATATGATAGATTGAATAAGGAAAAAACTCCTGGTCGATGTTGCCAATCTGGCTACTTGCTGAACTAATGATTATGATATACTATTGGAGGTTTTGGGAACCCTGGGCAGGATCTATGTTAGTCGTCCTGTTGCCAAAACTTTGGATTTGGATTAGAAATCATGACTGGCACAACTGTTTTTGGATGTCTTTGTGACTCTTTGTGGGGTGAACCCTTACTGGACCCAAAAAAGCTTCAAAATCAACAATTTTCTTTACTGTAATAGATTGAATAAGGAAAAAACTCCTGGTCGATGTTGCCAATCTGGCTACTTGCTGAACTAACGATTATGATATACTATTAGAGGTTTTGGGAGCCCTGGGCAGGATCTATGTTAGTCGTCCTGTTGCCAAAACTTTGGTTTTGGATTG